AATACTGCAGCCCAAACACCCCCAGCTTTTATTACAAATACTCAGACTTTTTTACAGAATCGAGTTCCACAGCCTATTTCCTTTTACTGGTTATGAATTGACCTCCTTTCAGTTTCACTGAGGATCCCTTTGTGCTTGTGTTATGAGACAAGAATAGAAGCTCCCAATCTAACTTCTCTGTCCCATTCCTTATGTCCCCTCTTATTTTTCTCCATTCTAAGGTAAACAATACCATCCTTTCCAATTTTTCTTTATGAGTTTTTTCATGCCTCTAGTCGTTTTCATTGTCCTTCTCTGAATCCCTTCTACATTTTGCAATATCCTTTTGTGAGATAGGGAGACCAGCACCGCACACAATATTCCAGATGAGGGCACACCACTGATTTTCTGATTGATATACAACAGCATTATATTTTCTTTATTGTTCTTGGTTCTGTTCCTCATGCATTTTAGCAGATACATCTATGCACTGAACTGACAAAGCACCTCAAACTCAATTATATAGCAGCTGATGGGGCCAAATTCTGGTTAGCATACATCCCCACAAACAGTCATGCATACATACCACAAAAGCTGTATGAATAAGAACCCATAGTGGATTGGAGACCCACAAACAGCCTCCAATTTCAACATATTACAATGCTTAGATACCATGCAGAGAGGCACATTAGGTACTAAACACCTAATCTGAATAGGAAAAAAACCTGTGCAGGGTGTTTTGCACACAAGTTGTTGCTGGGTCAGGAGCATAACTGCACTAAGTATGCAGACCACAGCCCAAAACCCCTTAGCCAGACTTGGTGATGCCCCTTTTATAAAAGCAGCTTCTCTACAGTGTTTGGAAAGCCAAAACTGGGAAAGCCAGCTTCCACATGTACTTCTGCTAACTAGCCTTGTGTTCTTTGACATGTATCTATGCAGCACACTGGCTAGAATTTAGCATTGTATTCCGTCTTCAGAATTTAACTTCATCTCTCTGACTTGTATACACATAATACACTAGGATAAAGAGGAAAACATTTTCAAAAAAGTGTCTAAGTGACTCAGGTTCCTAAGTCCCACTGAACGTCAATGGGGTTTATGCTTTTTAAGACATTTAGGCACTTTTGAAAATTTTCCCCAGAAGTATGCTCTTATACAATCATAGAAACATAGAGCTGGAAGAGACTTTGACAGGTCATCCAGTCCAGCCCCCTGCACTGAGGCAGGACCGAGTAAACCTAGACCATCCCTGGCAGGTGTGTCTCTAACCTCCAATGATAGGGATTCCACAGGCTCTTTGGAAGCCTATTCCAGTACTTAACTATCTTTATAGTTAGAAAGTTTTTCCTAATATCTAACCTACATCTCCCTGGCTGCAAATTAAGCCCATTACTTCTTGTCCTATTTTCAGTGGACAATGGGAGAACAATCAGCAACCTCTTTATAAAAGCCCTTAACATATCTGAAAAAGGTTAGTGTGTCCCCCCTCAATCTTTTTATCTCAAGACTAAATATGCCCCTTTTTAAATCTTTCATCACAGGTCAGGGTTTTTTAAACCTTTTATAATTTTGTTGCTCGGACTCCAATTTGTCCACATCTTTCTTAAAGTACGGTGCCCAGAACTGAACACACTACTTCAGCTGAAGTCTCACCATTGCCAAGTAGGGGGAACAATTATCTCTTGTGTCTTACATATAACTCTCCTGTTAATACGCCACAGAATACTAGCCCTTTTTGCTACTGCATCACACTGATGACTCATTCACTTTATGATTCACTATAACTGCTAGATCCTTTTCCGCAATACTGCCTCACCACTTATTTCCTATTTTGTACTCGGGCATTTGATTTCCACCCCATTCTGAGTGTAATACTTTAGCTTGTCTTTAATGAATGTCATCTTGTTGATTTCAGGCTAATTCTCCAATTTTTCAAGGTTGTTTTGAATTCTAATCCTGTCTTCCGAAGTGCTTGCAAACTTTCCCAGCTTGGTGTCATTTAAAATTTTTATAAGCATACTCTCCATTCCATTTAAAAGTCATTAATGAAAATGTTGAAGCATACTACACCCAGGACAGACCCTGGGGGGAGAGGGGGGGGGACGGGCACACCACGAGATACATTCTCCCAGTTTGACAGTGAACCATTAATAACTGTTTTTTGGGTACTGTGTTTCCAAATCAGTTGTGTGTCCACCTTATGTTATTATTAGGGTCCTACCAAATTCATGCTCCATTTTGGTCAGTTTCACGGTCATACGATTTTTAAATTTCATAAATTTCATTACTTCAGCTATTTAAATCTGCAGGGGCAGATGTCCCTAGGAGGCAGCAGGGACATGTTGCCACCTGCGGGGAGCCGCCTGAGATGCAGAACCCCAAAACCCATCCTATACCCCAAACCCCTGCCCCAAGCCCCCTCCCACACCCGAACTCCCTCAGAGCCCGTGCCCCACACCCCCTCCCACACTTCAAACCCCTCGTGGCTGTTCCTCCACCTAGAAGCAGCAGGAACATGTCACCGCTTCCAGGGAGCCATGCGGAGCCAGATAGGGAGCCTGCCTGCCCCCCACCAACCAGACTTTCAATGAAAATTAGAAATGCTGGTTTATAGAGCTTTCCAGTTGGTAAAGTGCCGGATAACACAGCTTTTACTGTATTTAGTGTTAAGTAGCAATGTTCATTACATACAAAAGGTATGCTGCCTTTGTCCATAACTTCCTAAAACCAAGTACCCATCCTATTAAACTCAAAGCAGCAGTTCTTAGACTAATTCACTGCCACCAGTAGTTAATAAAATGAAACTTCAGGATGCTGCACCTAAGATTCGCAAAACAACCTAACTCCAGATCATGTATTCTGCCTCTGTCCACCTAACAGGGATAATAAAATATTCTACGTTCTGCAACAAAAATACCACATCATCATACATATAGAATGACTAACATTTGATATGAATATCAGCATGCTTTAGATCAGTGGTTCTCAACCAGGGGTACGTAGAGATGTTCCAGGAGATACAGCAACCCATCTAGATATTTGCATGGTTTTACTACAGGCTACATAAAAAGCACTAGTGAACTCAGTACAAACTAATATTTCATATAGACTATGATTTGTCTATACTGTTCTATATACTATATCAGCAGTTCTCAAACTGTGGGCAAGTTCATTTTAATGGGGTCGCCAGCGCCAGGACAGACCCACTGGTGGCCAGGACAGAGAGCCCATGCCCTGTGACATGGGGCTGAAGCCAAAGCCCAAGTAAAACTTGGCATAAGCAAGACAAATCAGACTCCTGAAAGGGGTACAGCAGTCTGGAAGGGTTGAGAACAACTGCTTTAGATACTCATCTGTGTCCACTGTGTGAAGAGTGTGCAGAGTAAAGGTGCACATCAAACCTGTTTCTGGACAGCATCTGTTTTAGAACCATATGGGGGATGGAGACAACATAGTGCTTTTCTCAATCAGTATACAGAGGATGAATGAAGCAGATGGAGTTTTGGCTCATACTGTGATGCCAGATGTGAGAGGGTGTATCTATATCGTATATGATGAGCAACCAGTGGGATAAACTAATTATTCTTAGCGTGTTATACTGCTGTCCATCACTGCAGTAGGTGAGCCCCTTCCACACAAAATCAGCAGCAACAGAGAAGTACACAGTGGATGTCACACAGTCTCTAGAACTAGAGGTGTTTTTGTCTGATACTTACAAAAAACACTTATCTGGACCGCTACATATAAAACTCCTTATAAATACAGCCAAAATGCAGACCAAAATGACTACTGCAGCAGCCTAAATAAAGAAAGTGGCCAATCAACTTTTTACAGAAATTTAATTTCAATGATAATTTGTTACTATATAAATGTTCATAGGCTACATATATTTTGCCAGTCAGATTACAGTTTAAAATTCCTCCCTTCCTCTCTTTTACAAAAGAAAAATGCATTACTGTGAAAGATATCAAACTGACAGCTCTGCAGACTAATATAGAATAAACAGTAGCAGTGCAAGCAACTCCCAACCACCCTACTGATATGCCTCCACCATGACCTGAAGGGACTACTCCAAGAGAGGGAGAGGGTAATTTCACTGTCCATGCCCATTCAGAACTTGATCTTTTTACTAAGTCTGCTCAGGAGGGTACAAATTAGCACGAATCATATCATCAGATTTTACCCTTTACTGTATTATACAACTTGCACTGAGGTTAATAAAAAGTCTGTCTAGTTATGCTGGTATAAACCCCTAACAGACATGCTTAAATCAGTTCGAAGTCACACTTAAAGTAGATATGTTTATTACACTGAACAGAATTACACACATCTATATTAGGGGTTCGCATAGACTAACTAGACAAATATTCAGTTATACCAGAGCAAGTTGTTCAGTATATGAAGATCTACCCCACTAGGAACTATACAAAGAGCACCAACTTATTTCAAACAGATCACAGAACAGTTTTTGGCAAATAATGACACTGCGCTCTAATGGAGTTACACTGGACATAGGTCATGCCAGAATGTGTATGTAGTGTTGTCGTAGCCATGCTGGTCCCATGATATTAGTGACAAGGTGGGTCAGGTAAAATCTTTTATTGGACCAACTTCTGTTGGTGAGAGACAAACGGAATTTGGTTTTTTGTCACTACCACTCAGACCTGAATTCACACCTGCATCGTAGACGTGGAAGGCTCAAATCCTATTCAGACTGGTACAAGCTGAACAGTATTCTTTAACAAATATGACAAAGAAATACTTTACTGGGCAAAAATGCATGATTCTAATATTATAAACAATGGAGGTAGCACTAAAGATTACAATGAGTGAAATATTTGCCAATACTGATATGCTGATTTGCATATTATCTCAAAATTTTCAAAATAAATTTTCAATTATGTTTTCCTTTTAGAAAGTTCTGAATTTTTAGAAGTTTATTTTTAATTTTGGAAAAATACTGTTTTGTATCTTAATCAGTCTTGAGATAACTGGTGAAGCTAGCACAAAAATCTTACCACGCCCAGTTTTTCAGAAGCATTAGCTTTCCACAGACGAATGTTCATCTCATCTGAGCCACACAGAATGTACTTGTTGTCAGAGGTCCACTTGACAGTGATGACATGCTGCATTCGCTTTGTATGATATACCTCTCTAAAAGAAGCCGAAAGAATCATTAGAAAATGTGTTATAGTTACCTTCCTAATCATTGCTGCCTTTCACCTATCAGAATGGTCTCTCTTCAAAGTCTGAATATTTGTTCTACAATAACCATAACTGATTAAAATGGTTTTGTTTACAGGGGAATAGTTTCCAAACTGATACATGGAAAGTTCTCCAATTAAATTCTGCCTAAAATATACTGACAAAAAATTAGCTAGATAATACTTTAAAAAAAACAAAAAACAACCTCTCATCTTTTCCATGGCATCTAACTAGCAGAAGAATTGCTCTCCTTAGATTACCAAAGTCAATCATACAGACATACACTATCTACAAATCCTAGACATCTATTTCTTTATACTAACAAATATTGTGAGTGAAATTTATAATGTCCTGAGTAAGCATTACAGATATGGGAATTGTAGAGCTAAACTTAGTCTGTCTGGCACCAATACTGTGAATGAGTGAGAAGATGTTTGAAACCTAAGAGCATCAATATGAATTTGGAGATGTGTCAGTTACTGTTCACTGCAATTTTCCTCCTTTACCCCCAGAAAAATAGCCTCCTCCGTCAGTCAATGAGGAATTTGCAAGCCATATGAGAAAACAGCTTAAAATAAAAATGCTTCAGCACACACTGGGGAGTGACCATTGTTGACAAGCAGGTGAAGGATTTAGAACAGTAATGTTGCTTTTAAACCAATAACTAATAATTTCTGCAGATAGACAATACATCAACCTTTTGTTCAACAATGCTAGCAATATTTGAAAAATAAATTTGCACTGACCTTCAGAAATGCTTCATTCGTGTGTTCAACAAACTGAATTTTTCAGTTAAATTATGAGTGAATGCTTCTAAATGTTATATTTAAATCACTATTTAAAACAAACTCCTATTTGGATTTCATTCAATATTTACCACGCAAACAAGTGGATCAATAACATTCACGTAAAGCAATAACTTGGTGTCAGCTACATAAATAAACAAAAATTTACTACGTCTTATATATTTACCAATGTTCTAAAGTTTAGAACATTTTTAGTGTAATCAAACTTCATGTTTTAAACTTTAATTTTTGTATTATTTAAATCGATATTCGATTACTAAACCAGACAGAAAATAGTTTTAACAGATAATTAGCACATATAGTGCCTTTTACACAAACATGAGGGGGTGGGGTGTATCTAGTGACCTCAGTGGACTTTAGATCAAGCCCAAAATACATTACAGTGGTGGACAAGTATCATTACTGCTATTTTAGAGTTGGCAAAATACAGGCTTATGTACACTTGAAAATTAATTCAGATTAAGTTAGGGTATGATTTAAAAGCACAAAAACTATTCCTGGCCAATTCCATTTCTGCGCACACTTATTCCAAAGGAAAAGTGCCTTTTTTTGCTGTTTAGCTTAATCCACTGGGCTAAGCTAAATAAAACCAAGGCACACTTATTATGGAATAAGAGGACACATGGAGCTAGTCCTGAATAACTCCATATATAGATAAACCCTAAGGCACACACAAGTTAAGTGATTTTATCTGGTTACATAGGAAAGCAATTGCAGAGCCAAGAATATGCCTAGGTCTTTTGTCTTATTGCAGCATCCAATACACTGGATCAGGCTGCCTCCATTAAAGTCCAAACTACTGGTCTTGTAAAACAGGTCAAGAATTATAGAGAGTTTTGTTAGTATCATCTGTCAGGGGCTACAACCTCACCTGGTGTAAACAGACATAGCTCCATAAACTTCAAAAGAAATACACCAATTTACATCAGCTTAGAATCCGGCCATAAATTCTGCCTTTTCATATCTGTGTACAATGGGAGTTGTGTGTACCTTTGAGGGTATGTGCCTTCAAGGCTGAACTTTGGAATACCAATGAGAGTGTTTACAGCTTCCTCATAACACGTAAGGTCTTCCACAAAGACTCCCCTCCCCACTTAGGGTATGTCTACACTATAAGTGAAAGTGTGATGGGTAGACAATCTACTGTTAGTTTTAATTTAGCTAGCAAAGGTAATAACTATAGTGTAGATATGGTGGCACAGGCTTCAGCGTAGGCTAGCAACCAGAGTATGTACACAGGTTCCCTGGCGGGCTTGTACTAGGCATCTAGCTGTGCTGAAGCCCGTACTACCACATCTACCCTGTCACAGTTACCCATGCTCGCTAAATTAAAACCAGCACGGGTATGCCTGCTCATGCTACAAACACACCTTCACTTGCATTATAGACATACCCAAAAAGGCACGTTCCCTCCATACCCCAAAGAGGAATAATCAGGTCTGTGTCTTCCCTACAGTTTCAAGTTTCAAATTTAAGCTTTCCTTAAAAACAAAGAGAACGAGTTCCTAACCCACCTGACTGCGAATAAAGTCTTCTGAATTAACTGTGACAAGATTGTGGTCCTGGTTTAAAGATGTACTTAAGTCAAGTCGTTCAGTTCTCAGAGCTACTAGTGCACCAGGGACAAGCACCCCCCCCCCCCCCCAAATACATTTGGATACACAAGTGGATACCATCAGCTCAGACTTCTTTTTGGCAAGCTTCCTGGTAGTTTGCACTTACGCTTTCCCTCTTCCCCCCTTCAGCGCTACACAGTTCTACCTCTTTTCCCCTTCTATGGATCAAAAATATTTACAAAAAACAATTAAAATAGTTATCTGATCGACATAAGAGGAACAGCTACCACTTTGCTTAGCAATACAAAAATAAAAAATAGTCAAGGAACTACAGTGGGTATCTGCAACACAATTCCAGGATTGAAGGAAAACTAAAAGTTTTGTAGATCAATTATTAAGGACTCAGGAAAAAAAAGTTGGCCTTTAATAAGACAAAGGGGCATATGAACAGTTTGGAGAGGACACTAAGGAAGCTGTCAATAATAAAATGGACTCCACACAATCAGCCGGTCTGATTAATATGCATTCTAACATCCTAGAGGAAATAATTAATAAACTTAAACCACTGGCAACTATTTTTGAGAAAAGGCATCTTTTAAGAAAAAGAGCAAGTCTTGCAAATGCTATTTGGCAAGTCTTCCAGTGAAATAAAGCAGCAAGAATAAAAAACTGGAAGAACCTACAACAGCAGAGAATAATGGAACCAGACACAACAAACAGTACAGGTTTATGGAGAACAAATAATGCCAGACAAATCTGATCATTTTCTTTGATTTTGATCAAATTGAAAAAATAATGAAGGGAGTGCACAGTCGATGAAATCTAAACTTTAGTGTAGTACTTAATATGCTTATGAAATCTTACATGAAAAAAATAATTCAAACTGTGGTGGATATAAACATTGTCACATGGATAAAACCCGGTTAGAGAAACATGAACAAAAAGATAATAAGTGAAAATTAATTAGATCAGCGAAGTGTCCAGAATGTTTCCACAGGAATCTTTTACATCCTGTTGTATGTAATCATTCAAAAGGAGGAGAAAAAACAGCCCATAAAAAGACAAATGCTACAAAACTGTAGGTGTTGTACACATCAGTGGTGACAGAGATATACAAAGGGACCTACACAGATCAGAAATAAAGGCAGGAAATAAAATGAGATAAAATGGACAAATGCAAACTAATACATCTAGGAATAATAATTCAGAACTAATATTCAATCTAAGACATATTTGGAAAGCAATAGTGTCAAGAGAGGTCTGAGGTGACAGCAGAAATCAAAGGTGTGTTTGTAACAAGATATATTGCTTGACAGGGAAGTAACATTCGGCTGCCTTCCCAAAGGACATCACATCATGAAACAAGGAGTGTATCTATCCCCTGTTCTATATGAAATGGTCAATGTTTCACTTAGATTACTACTTCTGTCCTTGGCACCTTAGTACCAGAAATATCAGTAAGAGGAGAAAAAAAATGATTTAACAGGCTAGAGAAATTTCAATCCTGGATTCCACTTATAATTTTAACTCAAAACTAGAACACAAAATTCACTGCTCATTAAATAGGAGTTTTACTCTAATATATTTAATAAAAATTTAGACAGTGATTTAGTATTTACATTTATTCATGTGATGAGACCCTATAGGCATGCAATGGGAATCTATTGATTATATAGGTTAATGAGAGAGCTAAGTATTTGGGGGGGGGGGTGTGGGGGGGAAGGAGACCTAAGAGATAGATTTGGGGAAAGGAAAAAAAAATCACTGACCTGCTGTGACCTTTGTCTACAGGAAAAATGCGAATAGATTTATCAAAGCTGGCAGACACAAATTCTTTCCCAGTGGGGGAGTAATCCACATCAAGAACTGCAGACACATGATCAATGTGAACCATTACAGGTGACTCAAGAAAACGCATATCAAATGTATATAAGCTGTAAAAGAAATTTGCTAATTAAAAGAAGGCACCATGCTTTAAATACCATCTCATATAAACACTTATGTGAAAAAGATTCATGCTTTTCATATACCAATTTCCAAATGAACTGAATTATCAAACGCATGTTATATCACCATACATTTCTTTGAAGTACGTGATTATATGCACCCATAAAGCTCAGCTTTTAGATCCTAGGACCTAAAACTGTTTATTTCAAGTCAGACAACCGCTAATAAAGCATGAAAAGAATCGTAGGACTTGAAAAAAGGTACAGAACACATACTAGCTGGTAAGTTTAGCTGTATTGCTAGAGTTAGGATTCCTTCCCTGTTCGTACAGGAAAAGTGGGTCTCCTTTACTCTACTTCTCCCTCAGCCTGTTTTTGGTTCTCTGGCTCAACCTGCTTCATAAGCTACCCCATCTTCCTCCTTCATTCCTCCCACCTCCAGCCTCAAAATGTACCATCTACAACTGCTGAGTGTTTCTCAGATTCCATTTGGCACACCCTTTGCCCTGCCTGTCACCCTCTCTTCTCCGCTACACTGCCCTCATTAAAGTCAGGTCTACACTATAAACTTACATCAGTATAACTAAGTCAGGGGTGTAAAAATCCAAACCCCTGAGCCACGGAGTTAATCCAACCTAACTCCTGGTGTGGACAGGGCTATGTCGATAGGAGGGCTTCTCCCATCAACATAGTTACTGCCTCTTGCAGAGGTGGATTAACTGCGCCAAAAGGAGAAGCTTTCCCGTTGGTGTAGTAGCATCTTCACTGAAGGCAGGCCAGCCAACTCCAGAGGTTTTCCCAGTAGGAGCTTACAGAGAAATCCTTGCCTGCTTGGAGAATGGGGAAGGGACCCAATCTCCTTCAGAATGCAGGACCTCCTTCTCCCACTCGCACCTGCTACTCCGTTTAATTAACTAATGCTTGTACAATGTGTTGAAGATATACAACAGTACACAAGTATTGTTACTTTTTTTTAAACTATTTTTTTTAAACACAAATTAGAGGAATTAATAGTGGTTGCCAACTTCATAAAGTTTTGATCACTTCAGTGGTGCTACAAGCTATGAGTTGTACTAAACTGCTTAGGAGGCTTTACTTTTCCCATCACGCAAATAAGGAATAAACAGAGCATCCAGTGTATTCCCCTTTTCAACGACATAGCCAGTTACCAGTTCTTTGGAAGAGTATCCTCAAGAAGAGTCACTATATTAATGTATTATAGAAGAAAGCGGTGATCTCTGTTTTTGGACCACTGGCTCCTTGGAAAGAAAGGTATGAAGTGTATCCTGAGTGCTTCTGGGTTTAAACACCATTAGAGAGAGAGAAGGCTTTTTTCCAACATTAGGTTGACTGTTCAAGTGGCCAATGCCATCTCCCCCAAAAAAGTGCTTTAGGAGACAGGAAGAGCTAGCAAAGGTTAAGTACTAAAACCTTTTGTGGGAAAAAAAAAATCAAGAGGCTTTTTATTTTTTTTTAAAAGAAATGTTCATGCCAAAATAGCTGATTAGCACACTATGCCAGGATTCATGATAGCTGGCAAGTAAATAAGCACTTTCATTGCTCTTGTGGCTGGATCAATGGTGTTTAATTTCCAAGTGCCATTGTAGGTTACACTTACATCAATTCACTTTTTCTTATTGTGAGCTAAAATGGTGACCAAAGAGCTGTCATCTTATATTCCCATTTCCTCCTCCTACAGAAATAGTTACTCTGATTTTGCTGATTATGCATAACTTTCAGTGCAGATAAGTGACACAGGCATATCAAGGACAGATAGACCTTGTAACTATATGAACAGCAGATTTAGTTTGAGAAAACTAGTTGGGAGTACAACAGTAGCTGGTGGGTACATAGTACTACAGCCCTCCTTAGTAGCACTATCTTTGGTCTTGCAAAGGTAGGTCATGAGGTCTTTCAAACACTCTAATTGACTTTAAGGCCAAAGAAGGACTGCTTCACTAGGCCCTTAGAGAACAAAATGGTGGCTAATTTTTAGTAAAAGACAATGTATTAATTCCAGCTATTGATTCATGTAGAAAGAGTGGTCTGCTACTTAATACAAGTTTTATATCCAACAAACCTAGGATTTTCTAATTAGTCATTTACTTAAGTGACTCAAATATAAAATGTGAAGTGATTTTATAAAAATACCTTAGAATAAGGATGAATAAATAAGATTTAGGTAAGTAAACTAACAGGGATCACCAAAAAGCGATAGCATGCTTACTTGTGGTCCTCATTTGCTGAAGTGAAAATAAAAGCTTCCATGGGGTTCCAACAGAGCGTATTTGTCCTCATGTCCAAGATAACCTGAGAAAAAATACATATAACTACATTGTTATAAGTAATAAATAGTGGCCATTCTCCACATACACACACCAAATCTCCCAACACCTCCGGGAAGCAGGTAAACAACTCCATTCTACAGATGTAGAAACTGAGGCAGAAGGGTGAAGTGACATACCCAAGGCCACAGAGCATTTCAGTGGCAGTGCAAGGATTAGGACTCAGGACTTCCTGTCCCAAATTATGAGGTCTTTCCTTCAGATTATGCTGCAATTAAGTTCTCTGTGGAGACATGTCATGTAACAAGGGCTTTATGCCATGCCATGCTGCCCTTTACCCAGGGAATACCATTCCTGAGCTGGTACACCAAGCTACTTTTACATCTCCCCTGAAGGTCCATTTCTTCCATAACACCAACAGGAACCTTTCAAATCTACTTATCTATTTGATATATTTATTTTTTTTAAAGATATCTTTGATGGATGATGCAATGAATTAGTCTTTGCTAAGTAACCACATTTAAAATTAATACTGCCCCTGTCCTGTCTGCAACTATGCCCCACCCCAGCTGTTATCTTCTTACTATGTCAGAAATTATTGTTTATTAATTCCTCAGGCGAAGATGATATCTGGTCTGCTTTGAGAAGTGCCTAGCAGTTTTTGGGTGGGTGTAGTTAGTATAATACCACAGATATACTAAGGGCTTGTCTACACTACTGCGCAGGGTAAATCTAAGATACGCAACTTCAGCTATGTGAATAGCGTAGCTGAAGTCAACATACTTAGATCTACTTACCGTGGTGTCTTCACTGCAGTATATCAACAGCAGACGCTCTCCCATTGACTCCACTTGCACTCCCTTGTTCTGCTGGCGTATCGAAGTCGACAGGAGAGTGCTCAGCGGTTGATTTATCACGTCTGTTCTAGACGCGATAAATTGACCTCCTGCTGGATTGATCACTGCCCACCGATCCGGCGGGTAGTGTAGACAAGCCCTAAGTAAAAATGGGACCTGTACCACTGGCAGTAAGTTGCTTCATGAGTCAGGAATTTTGCATCCTGAACTTGTGAAAACCAGACGGCCACAGAAAAAAACAGCTTCATCTTAAAGTAGTCGAGATGGAGCTGACAACTACCCTAGTAAGACAACCCACACATTTTGCTAATAGTCGATTAGATGAAAGGTATTAGGAAGCCATATGTTCTATTCTCCCACCCTGAAGAGGAGTCCTGTAATTGTAATGACAGCTGGGGAATTGTTGGGGGAGGAGAAAAAAAAATCATCTGTCATCTATTAACAGAGTAGCTCTGGTCTCTCCTGAGGCGTGGAGGAGCTTCGAACTACCATATCAAGAGAGTTATTTGCACACAGTGATTCTTCCTGCCACATATTAGATGGATAACGACACAGAAGTTATTAATAAGTGAGCAATTCAAACAGACTGTCGTCAACTCTAATCCTAGCCAAAGTTTTGTATTTAATCTTTATTCTACTCAACTCTCTCTCTCAGCTTATTATACGTGGATGAAAATTTCATTTTAAACTAGTTAACAGTAAGTGAACACTGCACGGCTTACACCAAAGCCACAAAAATAAATTTATAGCCAAGTTTTATTACATATATGATCAATATTCTAAATTTAAATTTTGGCAAAAATTAACTATTTGGTATTATAGGTTTCAGAGTAGCAGCCGTGTTAGTCTGTATCCGCAAAAGAAAAAGGAGGACTTGTGGCACCTTAGAGACTAACCAATTTATCTGAGCATAAGCTTTCGTGAGCTACAGCTCACTTCGTCGGATGCATTCAGTGGAAAATACGGTGGGGAGATTTATATACATAGAGAACATGAAACAATGGGTGTTACCATACACACTGTAACGAGAGTGATCAGGTAAGGTGAGCTATTACTAGCAGGGGAGGGGGGGGAACCTTTTGTAGTGATAATCAAGGTTGGCCATTTCCAGCAGTTGACAAGAACGTCTGAGGAACAGCAGGGGGCGGGGCGGGGGAATAAACATGGGGAAATAGTTTTACTTTGTGTAATGACCCATCCACTCCCAGTCTCTATTCAAGCCTAAGTTAACTGTATCCAGTTTACAAATTAATTCCAATTCAGCAGTCTCTAGTTGGAGTCTGTTTTTGAAGTTTTTTTGTTGAAGAATTGCCACTTTTAGGTCTGTAATCGAGTGACCAAAGAGACTGAAGTGTTCTCCGACTGGTTTTTGAACGTTATAATTCTTGACGTCTGATTTGTGTCCATTTATTCTTTTACGTACAGACTGTCCAGTTTGGCCAATGTACATGGCAGAGGGGCATTGCTGGCACATGATGGCATCTATCACATTGGTAGATGTGCAGGTGAACGAGCCTCTGATAGTGTGGCTGATGTGATCAGGCCCTACGATGGTGTCCCCTGAATAGATATGTGGACACAGTTGGCAACGGGCTTTGTTGCAAGGATAGGGTGCTGGGTTAGTGGTTCTGTTGTGGGGTGTGTGGATGATGGTGAGTATTTGCTTCAGGTTGGGGGGCTGTCTGTAAGCAAAGACTGGCCTGTCTCCCAAGATCTGGGAGAGTGATGGGTTGTCCTTCAGGATAGGTTGTAGATCCTTGATGATGCATTGGAGAGGTTTTAGTTGGGGGCTGAAGGTGATGGCTAGTGGCGTTCTGTTATTATCTTTGTTGGGCCTGTTCTGTAGTAGGTGACTTCTAAGTACTCTTCTGGCTCTGTCAATTTGTTTCTTCACATCAGCAGGTGGGTATTGTAGTTGTAAGAATGCTTGATAGAGATCTTGTAGGCGTTTCTCTCCGTCTAAGAGGTTGGAGCAAATGCGGTTGTATCGTAGAGCTTGGCTGTAGACAATGGATTGCGTGGTGTGGTCTAGATGAAAGCTGGAGGCATGTAGGTAGGCATAGCGGTCAGTAGGTTTCCAGTATAGGGTGGTGTTGATGTGACCATCACTTATTAGCACCGTAGTGTCCAGGAAGTGGATCTCTTGTGTGGACTGGTCCAGGCTGAGGTTGTTGGTGGGATGGAAATTGTTGAAATCATGGTGGAATTCCTCAAGGGCTTCTTTTCCATGGGTCCAGATGATGAAGATGTCATCAATGTAGTGAAAGTAGAGTAGGGGCATTAGGGGAGAAGAGCTGAGGAAGCGTTGTTCTAAGTCAGCCATAAAAATGTTGGCATACTGTGGGGCCATTCGGGTACCCATGGCAGTGCCACTGATTTGAAGGTATACATTGTCCCCAATGTGAAATAGTTATGGGTGAGGACAAAGTCACAAAGTTCAGCCACCAGGTTTGCCGTGACATTATCGGGGATACTGTTCCTGATGGCTTGTAGTCCACTTTTGTGTGGAATGTTGGTGTAGAGGGCTTCTACATCCATCATGGCATTTTCAGGGAGATCACCGATGGATTGTAGTTTCCTCAGGAAGTCAGTGGTGTCTCGAATATAGCTGAGAGTGCTGGTAACGTAGGGCCTGAGGAGGGAGTCCACATAGCCAGACAATCCTGCTGTCAGGGTGCCAATGCCTGAGATGATGGGGCATCCAGGATTTCCAGGTTTATGGATCTTGAGTAGCAGATAGAATACCCCTGGTCGGGGTTCCAAGGGTGTGTCTGTGCGGATTTGTTCTTGTGCTTTTTCAGGGAGTTTCTTGACCAAATGCTGTAGTTTCTTTTGGTAACCCAAAGTAAAACTATTTCCCCATGTTTATTCCCCCCCCCCCCGCTGTTCCTCAGATGTTCTTGTCAACTGCTGGAAATGGCCCATCTTGATTATCACTACAAAAGGTCCCCCTGCTGGTAATAGCTCACCTTACCTGATCACTCTCATTACAGTGTGTATGGTAACACCCATTGTTTCATGTTCTCTATGTATATAAATCTCCCCACTGTATTTTCCACTGAATGCATCCGATGAAGTGAGCTGTAGCTCACCAAAGCTTATGCTCAAATAAATTTGTTAGTCTCTAAGGTGCCACAAGTCCTCCTTTTCTTTTATTTGGTATTACTGGTGAATCAGAAGTGGCTAAGTATTTGTTGGTTTTGATTTGGGTCTTAGTATGGGTAGCTTCCGCTCAGAAGGAGCCAGTTTTGGTCAAAGTCTATGCCTTCACCTCTTGTTTCATAATAGCTCTTTTCCAACGGAATGATGTCTACTATATCTTGAGTCCACTGTTTCACACATGGACTCATTCTACATTTTTCAAGTAAAAACACCAACTGAACCAATAATGTTACCATACATATCTAATATTATGCCTGACAGCAGTTGCAGAATTCAGCCTGGGGCTTGAAGAGATTTGAATTACTGTGGGTGTGATTTTTTACACAGCCACTACAGAAACTTTTAAATTTCTAACAGAGACCACTTCATGATCTCTATTTTTAATTCTAGAAATGTCCAGACATTTAATGAGCAGAACTCTTTACCAGGGCAAGTTTCAGGTAAGAAGTCCTTGGGGACACTGGTTTTGTTTATTTTTAAACCATGAACACTTGCTAGAGGTTTCCTATGTGAAGAGTCAATAAGGAGACCTGCAGATTAAAAGCAACACAAACACACATTGTCCATGTACAGTGAGATTTTACTACTCTCTCCCACTTTAGTATGTATTGAGTTTTTGGCCTATTTGATCAGCTAAGGTTTTTATTAGTATTGCAAACAATGGGAACACCATTTTGGTCCTCTAGGCAGTTCAAATAGAGGGGAATTTTTAATACTTAACTCTTTACTTCAATGATTTCTTATGGCAGTGAATCCCACAGATTCTACAGGAATGATTGCCTTTTTACAATTTTAAGTTGGTTACTTTTTAATTTCACTGAATGTCTTCCTGTTCTTGAATTATGGGTGCTCCCATTTACCCTTTCTATCTTCTCTACACCATTCATTTTTTTACACATTTAAAATGGTCCCAATCTTTTCACGTGGAAGGTTTTCCATACCTGTAGTCCTTTTCATCACCATTTCTGAATACATTCTGCTTGTGCCATATGTGTTTTCAAGTGGGGGGGAGGGACCAGAACTGATCAGAGTATTCCAATTAGGTGTTCTACTGATTTATATAATGGCATTAATACTTTCAGTGTTGTTTTCTATCCCATTTGTTAAACACCAGAACACTGTTTGCATTTTTTTTTAAATTAAATTAACTACCACAAATTGAGCAAAAGTTTTCCTCAAGCTGTCTGTAATGATCCTTAGGACTACTCCACTGCAAGTGGTCACAATTCATTTAGAGCCCAGGAATATTCATGTGTAGTTCAAGTAATACCTTCCAGTATAGATTACCTTGCATTTGGAATTGCGTCTGCCATAATGCTGCCTATTTATCTAAATTTGTTAAGTCCCTATGAAGTTTTTCGCAGTCTTTAATGGCCTTGACTATCCTAAATAATGGTGTCATCTGCAAGTTTTACCATCTAACAGTTTGCTTCCTCCCCCATAATAAATATCTTTTCAATTATGTTGGCTAATATTTTTATGTTTATTTTTAGTGCAGACTCTATAGAAGTTATAGAATTCATTTTTTATATTTATAGGGTTTGCATTAAAAATATGTGCCACATATAACAGTTGTGGAATGGAATGCAAGTGGAGAAAGTAATGGCAATGTATATACCAAGAATTGTCAAAATTAATGTACACACTTAAATAGAACATTTTGCACTAGACAGAAGAAAAACAAAGGGCTTTATTTTGCACAGCTGCAGTTCTCTCCTGAACACTGCCATGGTATCTCATCTCCTAAATTAAAGCTAGTACATCTGAAAGGAAAGAGATCTTTGCTCTTTTTTAGGGAGTCATTAGCTATGTGAAGGTCTGCGATTCGGGTGATTGCACACAGGCTTTTATAAATACTGCAGAATCATTATTTAATAATGGTGTGATGGATGGTTATCAGTTCTAATTAAGTGATAAATCTTGCATCTTTGTCTGATAATCAGGCCACGAGTTTTCCATTCTCGTCACCCATTCACAGCCACTTTGTTTTAAACGTAGCACAGATTTTTCTAGTGATTATTTCTCTCTTAAAAATAAATAATTTTCAAAGACTTCCAGATAGACTTCCATTGTATCATTAGTGTACCATTTATCTTTCTTCAGCAGCAGTGCTTCTAGTTTCGAATTCCTTTTTTTTTTTTTAAACTGTTTTTCTATAAGAAAACAGCACCTCATTACAGTTGCTTTAAAAGCTTCTCATCTGCAAGCCAGGGTTAGGTGGTGGAGGTTTTTTAAATTTTACCTCCTATCATAGCTTTATATTTACTATTGCTAAAATAGTTGGACTATGGCAACTCATAGCATAGCTTTCCGTTTCCACTGGTGGTTAGACTATCTATATATTAAATGTTTAATTAAACAAAGGTCCCTTTGGGCCTCTTCACAAGATTGCATGACAGTAACCCAAAGAACAACAGATCACCAATGCAGAAGTGCATAGAACAGTGAGAAAATTGTTGAATGTGGATTCCTACATCTCCACACAGCCTACATTCCTAACTTTGACAGGCTCCTTTAAACTGCATGGAAGTCTATTTTCACATTTATCTGTGTGTTATGGCTAACACATCATCACCAATGAGAGATTTTGTGGGCCAAATTCTGCCCTCAACTATACAGAAGTGGAACTCGATTGTCTTCGGAAAAAGATGAGTCCAGAATTTGGTTCTGGAACTGGAGCTTTAACAACAGTTCTGTTGATAAGTGAAACAGAGGAGAATCCAGCTCACTCACTCAGTTACATTAGCAATACTACCAGGACTAAGAACTTATTTTAAGTATGAAAAATAAACAATAAATGATGGCTTGGAATAGAGTGAATGTAGAGCTATAGTTGCATCCCACTGAAAGCACTTTCTCACATACTAAAAATCTTGAAGTATTTCCATTCTCTTACAAGAGACCTATGCTGCTGTCAGATTTTTTAAAATTTATTAATTTATTTTAAATCAAAGAGCAGATATACTGTTCTGTTAAGCCTTTCTAGGCACATTATTTTGGATCATCACTGAGGCTCTACTGATGTTTGGTGCTTGTTTCCCCACACAAGGCTCCCACTCACATCAAAGACAGATTTTTTGTGTGGGAACAGACTGCATAATACACCATAGGGACTCTCAGTGTGTAACAAAGAGCCAGAACACTGCGCTCCCATAGAAGCAAAAATGTCATCAAGCTGAGTCAGTCCTTGCACCCAATAACCACATTATCTGATCATAAATACTTAACTGTGAATTATCTTACATTTAATGGTTTGCCTAAAATGTTTTTGGAAAGACAAGTGACAACTCACATGTTGTGTACAAAATAATTTATATAAATGTTATTCGACAAAGTATTTATTCAGTTTTAACTAGAAATGTATCGATCACACCATTTAACTCGAGCAAGCTCAAGAAAAGCTTGTCATTTCCATTTGTAAATATGTGTAAGCTCAATTTTTCAGCACAGCCTAAACTGGAACTCCTTTTTTGAGTGAAAGTCTTTTAAGAGTTAAAAAAAAAAAGTTACTTTGCCTCCCCCTCTGGTAAGAAAAACATCACACGTGTAGGAACACTACATTAAATGAACATAACTAAGGGCTTGTCTACACTATTGTGCAGGGTCGATCTAAGATATGCAACTTCAGCTATGTGATAGCGTAGCTGAAGTCGACATACTTAGATCTACTTACCACGGCATCTTCACTGCGGTAAGTCGACAGCTGACGTTCTCCCGTTGACTCCGCTGGCTCCTCTCGTTCTAGTGGAGTACCGGAGTCGACTGCAGAGCACTCAGTGGTCGATTTATTGTATCTATATTAGACACGATAAATCGACCCCTGCTGGATCTATCTCTGCCCACCAATCTGGCGGGTAGTGTAGACAAGCCTTAAGACTCTTATGCCAGTCTTACACACATTTACAATGTATTACAGAGAGAGTATGACAGCCAATTTGAAATGAAAAGAGGGCCCTTTTTAAACCCTTTGCATGGCTTAAATCACAAAAATTCACACCCGAGATTAGTTTAAATTAAAGAGATGACACCCACAGAACTCCCACTTGGTCCAAAATCCCCAATGCTTACTATGTCAGGGACTAACTTCAAACTGTCTGGGGCCTCTCCATGCTAACATGCTACTTAAGTGTTGCTGTATTACCAAAACTGCTATCAACATTTTATGAACAAATCATTAAAACAGCGAGAAAACAAAGTTACCTTCTTTAATGGAGTTGATTGCCTCATGTCATACAGCACAATATTTCTGTCTGAAGCACAGCTTCCCAAAAGATACATCTAAAAAATAATCATGCCATTATATCAGGTACCACCTTCTAAAGCTATGAAAACAAAAAAAATAGGACACTGAGTACTGTATATACTCGTTCATTAGCCCGTTCGTTTATAAGCCGACCCCCCAAGATGGATAAGTAAAAATATTAAAAACTGTATGACCCTTTCATAAGCCGACCCTATATTTCAGGGGTTGGCAAACTTTGGCTCCCAGCCCATCAGGGTAAGCTACTGGTGGGTCGGGACGTTTTGTTTACCTGGAGCGTTCACAGACACCCCAAGCTCTGGATGAATGCAGTACGCCGCAAGTAAACAAAACGTCCCGACCTGCAAGCGGCTTACCCTGATGGGCCAGGAGCCAAAGTTTGCCAACACCTGCTATATTTTAAAAGCTGGCATCACAAGAAAACACTCAAAAGTTTTGCTAGAATTATTTTAATGTAATCTAACGAAAAACCTGTTGTTGTTATAATAACTGAAGAAATATGTATTCACCTTCAAAATTACAGTCAATTTTTAAAATCAGTAAACGGATATTTAAAACAAGTAACTTAGAAGAATATGACAGGTTTCAGAGTAACAGCCGTGTTAGTCTGTATTCGCAAAAAGAAAAGGAGTACTTGTAGCACTTTAGAGACTAACCAATTTATTTGAGCATGAGCTTTCGTGAGCTACAGCTCACTTCATCAGATGTGAAGTGAGCTGATGAAGTGAGCTGTAGCTCACGAAAGCTCATGCTCAAATAAATTGGTTAGTCTCTAAGGTGCTACAAGTACTCCTTTTCTTTTTAGAAGAATATGAGATTTTTAAAAGTCTTAAAATGCTTCAAAGTGTGAATCAGTCTCCAATTCACCAAACAGTTCATTAAACTTGGCTTCAGTCACAGCTGCACCTGCATCATCATCGTAGATGTCGGTAGTGTCGTCCTCAGTCTCAGATTCCTTCTCATCATCAACCTCTATTGTGTCATCATGAAATATGGCATCTTCTGACCCATCGAGTGCATTGCTGATACAACATTTCCTGAATGATTTTTCTATCATTTCCGAGAGAATGGACACCCACGTGTGCTTGATCCACTGGGTGACCAGACTGATTTTGGGCTTCATAAGATTCCTGCCTTTTGTCAACTTCGCCATGCCTGAGAACATCCATTCAGACCACATTTTCCATAGCCTGTCTTTAAAGGGTTTGTTCAGGCAGACATCAAGCAGTTGCAGAACTGAAGTTAAGCCTCCAGGTATTACAGCCAAAGTAGTTTTCATATTTTTGGCCACATTTTTCACCTCATCCGTCTTTGTGTGCCCTGAACATGTCCCAAACGAGCATGGCAGATTTCTTGAAAAATGCTCCTGGGCTCTTATTCCACACTTTTCCAGCCATTCAATTGTCCCGCTTTCATCCATCCATCCCTTTTCATGTGCATGTACAATGACACCAGCAGGAAATTTCAAAGTTTTAGGCAAGGTTTTTCTTTTAAAAAGAACAACAGGAGGGAGCTTTGATCCATTTGCCAAAGATAAAACCACCATAAAATGGATTTTTTTGTGGCCAGTGGTTTTAAGTAAAACTGTTTTTTCACCAACACTGGTTACCGTTCTGTTGCTCGGGAGATCGAATGTCATCGGTGTTTCATCCATATTTCCTATTTGTAACAGTTCAAATGCATATTCCTTTCGATATTTTATAATAAACCTTTGGGAAGATTCGATTTTTTCTTCCAGATCTGTCAGCAGCTTTTGCGCTATCTTTGTTCGCTGATGAAGACAGAGACTATGACTGCTCATGAAGTGACTACACCAACCCGCTGATGTGACAAACATTGATGGTTTAATGACTTGTATTTGTCATCTTTCAACATTTGCAGAGCATGCAGACGAATTCCAGTTCTAGTGACAATGTACCCACTTTGTCGACATTCAACAACCCAATTATTGAGATCTTTCTCCGGCTCAGGAAATGGAGCGCACCTGTTGGACATTTTTTCTTGCTTCTTGGCATGTCTTTTAGTTTTTTTTTATTTTTTCACCATTCTCTTACTTGCTTCTCATTGATACAGAATTCACAAGCAGTGGCACAATTATTGTTTGCTTCTGTATATTCAACAACTTTAAGTTTGAACACTGCGTGATCAGCAGATCTTTTTCTTTTGATTTCACCGTTTATTTTAAATACTAGTATGAAAATAGTATATTATTATTGTAGTTATAGATTTTGTAGGATTTTATATAGAATGTCACCTGCTTTATCACTGTCAAATTATTATTGTTCTTTGTTTATTTCAAAGCAGCCCTGTAGATTGGCATGTCTGTGGGGATAACGGGCTATTTCAATTTTATTAGCGATTCCATCGATTCTGCACGTTATATTTTCATATTGGCTCAAGACTTATGAGGTCCATTGGTAGAAAGAAATTCACAAAGAGATCAAATTACACAGTAGCAGACTGACACCAGTGCTATAGTACTATTGTTCGTTGTATTTTTCTGATTGGCTTGTAAGGCATAGCATTTTGTGAAAATGCATGGGTCAAATGTCATGCAGATCTGCAGCACTGCTCTTTTAGTATTCTTTCCAAGCCAATCTAGTTCACTAAACAAAGACTTTGCAACTTTAAAAGGCTGCAGTATTGACATCAATAAATGTGTCGGCAAACTTTGGCTTCTGGCCTGTCAGTGTAAGCCACTGGCGGGTTGGGACATTTTGTTTACCTGAAGCGTCTGCAGGCATGGAGCTCATCAGTTCTCTGTGGCCGCGGTTCACCATTCCCAGCCAATGGGAGCTGCGGGAAGTGGCACACCACTTCCCGCAGCTCCCATTGGCTGGGAACGGGCGAACCGCGGCCACAGAGAACTGAGGGGCTCCATGCCTGCAGATGCTCCAGGTAAACAAAACGACAATGTATTAGATATACAATTCAATGATTTCAGAGAGATTAAAATCATCAAATTTTGGTGTAGATCCGTTTATAAGCCGACTCCCGCTCTTTGATGCGTCACTTTTTTACCAAAAATATTCGGCTTATGAACGAATATATATGGTATATATTTTACACTAAATATTTAAGCAACTGCTATTTTGCTAATTTAAGTACAGACATAGCCACTTTCTTCTAATATATGACTCTTAAAATTTTAAGAAAACTGTGAATAAAAGCAATCACAGAACAGGAACATGATCTTGAATCTCCTTTGACAAAACAAAATTTTGGTGTCAAATGTGTTCTATTTGCTTTAACCATTAGTAAATGGTTCACTATTCTTTATGTACAGCTGAACAGTCAATTCGAGGGCTTTTTTCAGAAATAGCTTTGTTTTCACCAAACCGAAATCAATCCGTTTTTCCCCACTTGTGAAGTAGTAATTCTTTCACATATTCACCAGCTAATCTAAAGGACAGTAATTCCCATCACAAAATTCCCGTCAACACGATGTTGGTAATTGATTTAGTATGTATACAAAAGACTATCTTCAGTATTACCTACTGAAGCAACATCACCACTTTAATAAAAATAAATAAATAAAAAACACATGCTATATAACGGTGTTAAAAATACTGTTTTGGAAATTTACAGTTGGAACAAATAGTTGAAGAGAGTTTAATATGAATCTCTAAATGTTAACATGATTTAGTCCTCGTACTGATCAAATAAAATATTGACATACAGTATGTATAAAGAAAACATTACCTCAATTGGATTAAATTTAACACTGCTGATGCTATCAACACCCCATGTCAAAGAGCATATGGGACTGGTCCTTTGTTCATCCCAGATGTCTACTTGATGCCCACAAGTTGCAAATACAGCTTCCTTCCAGTGGTGATCAATTCCTGTGTACACTGTCTATAAAAGGCAAAAGAACTTAGTTACAGGAATGTTCAACTCAACTTTGTATAACAAGTTTTTCAAGTTGTTACATTTATTATTTAAATTACTGATGACCAAATCATCACGCCCTGCTGAACATGTTGTAGTCTTTCATATTTAGCTATTTTAAGAATATTGTAGCCTTTCATTTTCTTTTTGCATGTTCTTTTTTGTAAATTTTTATTGATTATATTTATAGTGAAACCTGTATTAACTGTCACTCAGACAGTTTGAAACCAGTCTGACCGAGCATTTTACTTTGACATACAACATATTAAAAAGTGTGGTAATATAGCCTACATGAAAAAAACTTTAAAATGTTTAATGTATTTCCAGAGGCAGTCAAATAGATCCCATGTGTTACACAAAAGTGTATAGCTGAATCTTGTTAGCAATTTTCCTTATGGAAGTACCATAATTAATTTTAAAATCTCTCCCTAGCTCACATACCAAAAAAACGCACCAAAATATGTGCACTGTGGTGGAGGATGCCATAAAAATCAGCTTTTTTTTTTTAAGTTACTTAAAACAAAACCACTATCTCATCTCATAAATGCAGGCCAGAAGGAACCATCATCATGTAGTCTGATCTCCTGAATAATGACCTATGATAATTTCACCCAGTTAACACAGTATTGAGCCCAATAACTTCCATCTAACTAAAAAATAATTTGTATTTGACTAAGACTATCTTCCAGAAAGGCATCCAGTCAATAAGATGACATCAAGAGATGGAGAATCCACCACTTGCATAGGTAGTTTGTTCTAACGGTTAACCACCTTCACTGTTAAAAATCTGTCCTAATTCCTAATTTGAATTTGTCTGGCTTCAGTTTACAGCCACTGGTTCTTGCTATGCCTTTCTCTGTTAGAATAAAGAGCCCTTTAGTCCGGTATTTTCTCCCCATGGAGGTACTTATACACTCTATTCAAGTCACCTCTCAATCTTTTTAATAAGCCAAACAGATGGAGCACTTTAAGGGCTTGTTTTCACAGCAATATGAACTAGAGGTATAACTCAAGAGTCGCCTCTAACCTAACTCCCGTCCACACATGCATAAGAACAGCCCTACTTGGTCAGACCAAAGGTCCATCTAGCCCAGTATCCTGTCTTCCGACAGTGGCCAGTACCAGGTGCCGCAGAGGGAATGAAGAGAACAGGTAATCATCAAGTGATCCATCCCCTGTTGCTCATTCCCAGCTTCTGGCAAACAGAAGTTAGGGAAACCATTCCTGCCCACCCTGGCTAATACACATTGATGGACCCATCCTCCATGAATTTATCTAGTTCTTTTTTGAACCCTGTTATGGTCTCGGCCTTCGCAACATCCTCTGGCAAGGAGTTCCACAGGTTGACTGTGTGTTCTGTGAAGAAATACTTTCTTTTATTTGTTTTAAACCTGCTGCCTATTAATTTCATTTGGTGACCCCCTAGTTCTTGTGTTATGAGACGGAATACATAACACTTCCTTATCTACTTTCTCCACACCAGTCATGATTTTACAGATCTCAATCATGTCTCCCCTTAGCCATCTCTTTTCCAAGCTGAAAAGTCCCGGTCTTATTAATCTCTCCTCATACGGAAGCCGTTCCGTTCCCCTAATCATTTTTGTTGCCCATTTTCTGAACGTTTTTCAATTCCAATATATCTTTTTTGAGATGGGACGACCACTTCTGCACACAGTATTCAAGATGTGGGCATACCATGGATTTATACAGAGGCAACATGATATTTTCTGTCCTATTATCGATCCCTTTCTTAATTATTCCCAGCATTCTGTTTGCTTTTTTGACTACTGCTGCACATTGAGTGGATGTTTTCAGAGAACTATCCACAATGACTCCAAGATCTTTCTTGAGTGGTAACAGCTAATTTAGACCCCATCATTTTATATGTATAGTTGGGATTAAGTTTTCCGAAGTGCATCACTTTGCATTTATCACCATTAAATTTCATCTGCCATTTTGTTGCCTAGTCACCCAGTTTTGAGAGACCCTTTTATAGCTCTTTGCAGTCTGCCTGGGTCTTAACTATCTTTAGTAATTTTGTATCATCTGCAAATTTTGCCACCTCACTGTTTGCCCCCTTTTCCAGATCATTTATGAGTATGTTGAATAGGACTGGTCCCAGAACAGACCCCTGCAGAACACCACTATTTACCTCTCTCCATTCTGAAAACTGACCATTTATACCTACCCTTTGTTTCCTATCTTTTAGCCAGTTACCAATCCATGAGAGCACCTTCCCTCTTACTTTGCATAAGAGCCTTTGGTGAGGGACCTTGTCAAAGGCTTTCTGAAAATCTAAGTATACTATATCCACTGGATCCCCTTGGTCCACATGCTTGTTGACCCCCCCCGCAAAGAATTCAGTAGATTGGTGAGGTAAGATTTCCCTTTACTAAAACCATGTTGACTCTTTCTCAATAAATTATGTTCATCTATATGTCTGACAATACTGTTCTTTATTATAGTTTCAACCAGTTTGCCCGGTACTTGAAGTCAGGCTTACAGGCCTGTAATTGCTGGGATGACCTCCGGAGACCTTTTTAAAAATAGGTATCACATTACCAGATGACTGGAGGATAGCTACAGAAGCTGATTTAAAATGACAGGTGACAGACTAGTAGTTAGTAGTTCTGCAATTTCACATTTGAGTTCCTTCAGAACTCTTGGGTGAATACCATCTGGTCCTGGTGACTTATTGCTGTTTAATTTATCAATTTGTTCCAAAACCTCCTCTAATAATACCTCAATCTGGGACAGTTCCTCAGATCGGTCACCTAAAAAGAATGGCTTAGGTTTGGGAATCTCCCTCACATTCTCAGCCGTGAAGACCGACACAAAGAATTCATTTAGTTTCTTTGCAATGGCCTTATCGTCCTTGAGTGCTCCTTTAGCACCTCGATCGTCCAGTGGCCCCACTGGCTGTTAAGCAGGCTTCCTGCTTCTGATGTACTTAAAAAAAATTTGCTATTACTTTTTGAGTCTTTGAAAAACATAAAACATTCCCAGGAGAAAATGCAGAAATATAAATCCCAGATCCACAATCAATCACCTTCCACCCCACTAGTCCATGCTTAACTAACTTAAGTAGTAACAAGAGAATAGACGTTTTTATACCTTTCCAAGAATTGTATGCAGTGGTTCTTCTTCTTCTCCCCCATATCCTGGGCCATCCATTTTCCAGTGCTTCACAGTTTTATCATCACCAACCTAGAAGCATTGGAGAAATCAAACAGCTAGCTCTTTGGAATATTTAACACACATTTATTCTATTTACACAATTCAAGCTCCTATGTTATGCAACTACCCAAACCTTTCCCCCCCGCCCCATGACACTTATCTAGTGTCTACTTCAGAGCAGTGGATACACATTCCATTGTCGGTAGATGGACATACAAGATTTTTGTTAACAAGAGGACCCATCAACTCATTCTGTCCTCCATACTTCATGCTTTTCATTGTTAGATGTTAGTCCTGTTTTCATCTGAACACCAAAACACTGATATTTTATCACAGTCAGTTTATGTGCACTTAAACCCATTATACTTGATATAAAGTGACAATGAAAGGATGTTTACTGACAGAACTTTGACTTTAATTACTCAATTGAAACCATCTTGAATCATATTAACTATTCATAGTGTTTTTCAATGAACACAGTTTGCCATACAAAACCAGTAGGTAAAATAACGTACTCAAATTAATTGAGTTGCCCTTATTAAAGGAACAACACCAGAAAATTGCTAGTCTTGGTTAACAAATGCGTTGTAGCACCAAACATTTTTGTTCAGAAACAGAAAAGGCTAGGTTTGCAATATAAATGGAGTTTAGTGGACATTATTCCTAAAAACTACTGACATTTTAAACATGCTACCACAGAGAAGCTCACCAAATGATTACACTAAGTTTCTGATTGGAAAACCAATGGTGGAAGTATGCTCTATACGTCATACCAACATTATACTTACGGTGAAGAAAGAAGTACCACAAAAGCGGGCACATATCCCTCGTACAAAGCCCTCATGCGCTTGTAAAGTACGGATGCATTCTCGCTTGGTCAAGTTCCAAATTTTAACCTGTTAAAAGAATACCAAAACATTTTTCCATTTAGTAGTTTTCTAGCTGTAAGATGTCATGAAAAGTCATCTCAAATGGACACCAGCAGCCTGAAATCTAGCTAGTTTTAGAAAATGTGTTCCACGGAGTTCAAAACAAACCTTCCCCTGAATAGCCATGTCTATTTTTTGTTGGCTTACAATCACATTTCCCTTATATTTTTTTAAAATTTCTTTATTGAAGTGAGTGTCACTGCTACCACCAGCAAGAATTCGATTTTACAAACCCAATACTGGAAGCTGCTCCACATGACTTAGACCTGCTTGCAGGATAGGGACCATAGAAAGTGCAGTGAAAGGAATTATTGTATTAGCCAGAATGGTCAGGGAGGAACATGCTCTAGGTACACCTAAACTTCTGACTGACCAATTCTGGGACTGAACAACAGGGGATGGATCATTCTATAATGCCCTGTTCTATACATTCCTCTGAAGCATCTGGCACTGGATACCAGGCTAGATGGACCACTGGTCTGACCCAGCATGGCCATTCTTATATTTTTTTAAAAAGAAGTTTGTATTCTTTTTTTTTTTTGGGGGGGGGGGAATTCACTTACCTCTCCATCACAGGCCCCAGAAAGTATTGTAGACAAACTATGTGGATGCTTAGCCATACAATTAACTCCATCCCTGTGACCATCCAGTGAAGCAAGAAAAGGTTTTGCAAACACACGTTCTAATTTTGTTGCATTCAGGGCTCGCATATACTCTCGTGGAACCTCAAATGGATGCAATGCAGGATCATAGTTTCTTGGAACTGGAATAAGATGGATAATCGTAAGAACCCATGACATCCTCTGTGGTGCAAGTTAAGTTGAATTAAGATAAATTTCCCTTTGATTTTTCCTGCCATGATGGAAAGAATATATTTTCCCACAACACTGGGATTTCTGTCACATTGATAACTGCAAAGTGATCTGCGGGATCACCAGCTACTGAAATATTTAAGTTTAGAGTTAGTCCTACTAGCTTTTTTTAAATTAAGAAGTTAAATGGACAGTGTCAAGTAATTTTTAAAAGATTTTACTTTTAGATTAGACTTCTAGCTATCAACACTTGTCTTATATTTCAAAAAGCGCTGAAACTAAAATGCCCATAATTTAACTCAACATTGGATTTATACTAGTCATGTGAGCAGGCTGGGAACTGAAAGTTAAAAGGCTCTTGCCTATCAAGAGACATTACCTGCTCAAAGAACCAAAACAAAGCCAGTATTGAGAATGCCAATGGACAAGGATATTTTGTAATTATTTTGTTTCTTCCACACTGTTGTGGGTGGGAGGGAATACATACATACACACACACATCCCCCACCACATAACCATCAATGCTCAGAGATCAATCCACCGGTGATTGATTTAGTGGGTCTAGTGAAGACCCACCAAATCGACAGCCACTTGCTCTCCAGTCCACCCCTGTACTCTACCCCCGATGAGAAGAGTAAGGTAAGTCGACAGGAGAGTTTCTCCCGTAGGAACTCGACCTAAGGTATGTCGACTCCAGCTATGTTATTCACATTACTGGAGTTGCATAGCGTAGGCTGACTTACTGTGGTAGTGTAGACGTAGCCTATTTATGAGATCTTTTCTTCTGCACAACCAAAATAGCCTCTGTTCTAGTGGAGGTAGGAGACCATGAGTTCTACTCTCACCTCTTCCAATGAGGAACAATATTTCCCTGCATTTCGTAACACTTATTACTGAGCAAGGTACCATAACCCTACGTTATGAAACTTAGTTTCTTCCTTACCCTATTACACAATTGAGATAACTGTGGGCCAAAGAGTTTACATACATTCATATCTGACAAAGCTCGGAAAAGCATACAAATAGACTAGAAAGTGGAAGACCCAAATCTCATCCACTAGACCACTGGTTGAAAACCACTGGTCTGGGGCCCTCTGGGGGTCCACGAGCAGGTTCAGGGGGTCTGCCAAGCAGGACCAGTGTTAGACTCGCTGGGGCCCAGGGCAGAAAGCCCTGCCATGTAGGACTGAAGCCCTAAGCCCTGCCACCTGGGGCTGAGGCAGAAGCCTGAGCAACTTAGCTTCAAGGGGCACCCTGTGGCATGGGATCCTGGGCAATTGTCCTTCTTGCTACCCATTAATGTGAGCCCTGGCTTTATATTACTCCTGAGGGCATTCTGTGCCAAAAAATTAAAAATTCTGCACAAAATATTTTAAAATTCTGCAAATTTTGTCAAATAAACGTAGAGGCTCCAGCATGGAATTGGGGAGCACAGACCACTGGCTGCACAGAGGTGGGAAATCACTGTGCAGCTCCCCCGGGACACTGACTCAGCAGTAAGAAAAGGAGTATTTGTTAGTCTCTAAGGTGCCACAAGTACTCCTTTTCTTTTTGCGGATACAGACTACCACAGCTGCTACTCTGAAATCTGACTCAGCAGTGAGGCTACACCCAACCCTGACACAGCATAAGAACCTGGCCTGCCCCAGAAACACCTCAGGGTTCTGCCCCTCTGTGCCAGGTGCCGGCAAGCTGGCTCAGCAAGGCAGGATCCAAGTGTGAAGGGGCTTAGTGTGGGGGCAATCTAGGTGTGGGTTGAGAGGGTTCTGTGTGGGGGCAGTTCAGTGAGGGAGCCAGGTGCATGGGGGGGGAGGGGAGATCTGGATGCACAGGGACTTGTTGAGGGGTTCTGCAGGCAACACTAATGGGACTCCGCAGGGGGGTCCAGGTGCAGCTGGTCAGGGTTCGGTAGGGTGGGGATCCAGGTACAGGTGGCTTGCCGAGGTGGTCCAGGGGAAGTGAGGCTCATCAGGGGGGTTCTGGTTGTGTGTGGGGGTGGGGTGGGGGTGGGGGGGTTAGGCTCGGCGGGAGTGTCTGGTTGCATAGGGATTGGGCAAATGGGGAGCAGCTCCCTGTACAGAGATCCCTCCCCCTGCAGCTGAGGAGAAATAGGTGCAGGAAGCGCAGAAGGTGGAGTTTGCAGAGCTTCCTACAGCCAAGGGAGAAATCCAGTAGGGGTCGGTCTGACACAGCCCCGGATGCAGTGCAGGGGAAAAGGAAGTCCCATCCTCCTCAGCCCAGCCGGGACTAGCAACTGAGCCTGGTGCTGGGCAGGAGCCACCAGCCAGGTCTTCCCCAGTCCCACCCCCTGCCCCACAGTAATTTACCTCTCTGCCAGCTACCCCAGGCACCCGAAATATACTGCTGGGGAGGGTCACATGACTTCTTTTATAGCTTCCCTTTGCTTCCCCATCAGAAAATCATTCTTCTGGGGGGAAGCAAAGAAATCTGTTGGGGACAAATTCTGCGCATTGCAGTGACGCAAAATTCTCCCGAAAGTATCATATGTAGAAAACTACTTGTGGCGGCACAGGTGGGTGATGGAGTTTTTACAGCATGTTGGCGGGGCCTCAGAAACAAAAAGGTTTAGAACCCCTACGTTAGAGCACGATTACAGCATCTCTCAAAAAGAATGTGCCAAATCTGATCAGGACGAGACTGTCCGTAATGTGGTACTATTCTGACACACCCATCTTTACAAGATGCCATTGGATCCAGAGATGAACAAGCGCTAATAAGGGCAAAACATCACTGAAAAATAAGTAGCAGGCTAGAGTCATAAGTCCCAGACCCTTTCTCTAACTCAGGGGTTCTCAAACTGGAGGTCAGTTGCAGCTCAGGGGGTTGCAAGGTTATTACATGGGGGGTCATGAGCTGCCAGCCTCCACCCCAAACCCTGATTTGCCTCCAGCATTTATAATGGTGTTATAAATTAAAAACACTTTTTTATATATTTAAGGGTGGAGTCACACTCAGAGGCTTCCAATGTGAAAGGGCTCACCAGTACAAAAGTTTGAGAACCACTGAGTCTAACCTCAGGGTAGTCAATTATTTTTTTGTCAAGGTCCAAATTTCTTGGTCAAGGTATAGTCAAGGTCCGGACTCCAGAGAAAATAATAAATAATAATAGGTAAATGAAAAGATTTGAGGCTCCATTCAAAGCATCTGGGGGTCCAGATTTGACCTGCAGTCCGCCTATTGACTACCTCACCTAGATCATGATCCATATCCAGAGTCAGAAACAGAACCCTGCATTCCCAACTCCCAATACATTATTGGGGCATGTCCTTATATAGAAAGAGGCAGTCCTTTTCTTATTGTGTAATGCAGAACATTATTCCAGTGTCTAAAAAAATAAACGCACAAGATGAAAACTCAGCCTGGGAAGTTTCAAAGAAAAATACATCCCTACACTGAAAGAACACTGAGGCTGCAAAATGAAGCAGTCAATTGTTCAACAATGTCAAAATTAAGCTAGCACACATATCCTTAATTCTGATACCTTATTCACTAGCATTATGATACCATCTTTGATACCATGATCACAACCATTTTTTCCATAGGACCCCTGACTTATTCAGAACAGTTTCAGTGGTGAATGAGTTCTTGCTGGGAGTAAACTGAACGGTGGATAGTGGCTCAGACTGCAAAAAGGGAACGAAATGTGTTCTGGCGAAAGACATAGGTGCCTCGGGCATCGAGTTACTGAGATATCCAAAATCAGCAGACACTTCTGTAGGTGTTAGCTTTAATCTCCCTGAGCGTCTTTTACTAATCTGTAAAGCCTGTACCCCACGACAGCGTTATCGTTACCTACTTGCAGCCTGGGATGGCGCCATGTAGGGGACCAAGACGCTGGTGTGCTAGGCGCTGTACACACCTGTCCAAGGGGCTGGCAGGCCGGACCCTCTCCTAGCCCAGCCTGCCAGGCCTATGCTCCCTCTTCTCTGGCGGGTGGCCCCAGCACAAGGCGGGCCCCGGGGAACGGCGCTCAGGACACCCGCACAGCCATTACGCTAGGTTCGCCCCCAAGCACCTGTCCGTCGCGCGCACCGAAGATTCCTCCCCAACCAACCAACCGCCTCCGCCTGCCCGCGCGCTCACCGCGCTGGAGATCCTGCTTGGTCTCGCGGATGTAATCATCCGGGTTCCGGCTCAGCACCTTCACCCTCATCCCGCCGCCACGCTCCGCTCCTCGCGGCTGCACAGACCGGAACACTTCCGGGTCAAGTCAGAGCTCACAGTAACGACCGGAAGAGCTGACGTCGGGCTCACGTGACACCCTCCCCAATCCCAACGTGTTGCCCGGCTCCACCCACCAGCGAGGGAGCTTGGTTGGCGCCAGGGGCTAGCCCTCCCCTATCCTCTGTCTCTGCCACGGGGCTGGTGGTGCGGTGGCCGAGGGCTGATGAGTGCGGCTCAGGGCACGCGGGGGCCGGTGCGCGCGGTGGAGTCTCCGCCGGCCCCGCCCTTGCGGCCCCTGTTCAGACACGTGCGGTACGAGAGCCTTGTGGCGGGTCTGAGCGGCGGGGTCCTCTCCACCCTGGTGCTGCATCCGCTGGACCTGGTGAAGATCCGCTTCGCAGGTGAGGCGGGCCCCCTGCTCCCCCCGTTCCCCTGCAGAGGGGGCACCCTCCCTGGACGGGCCACTACGCCTGCTGGAGCCACTCCCACTGGGGAAACTGAGGCACAATGCGTAGCACAGCCTGGCTTCCAGTCTGCCTCTTCCCACCTTCGCTTCAGAGCATGGATTTGCCATGCTGCCGGAAGGTTAGAGCGAGCTGCGCAGGGGCGTGGTGCGTGCGGTGCCCGCTCTCCTTCCCCGGCGCCTACGGCTCTCCGAAACCAGCCACGACTCGAGACTTCTAGTGGGAGCAAAGGTCGAGGGGACCGGGGGGCTGCGATTACAGCAAAGCCTGGGATTGCGAATGTACTGTAAGCACGATCCAGCACAATACTGAGTAACACTAAACTTTAACTCAGGTGTTTTCTGGGGGTCGGGACCCCTCAGGGGGTCACGAGGTTATGACATGGGGGATCGCGAGCTGTCAGCCCCCACCGCAAACCCTTCTTTGCCTCTAGCATTTATAATGGTGTTAAATGTATTGAAAGGTGTTTTTAATTTATAAGGGGGAGTTTCACTCAGACACTTGCTATGTGAAAGGGGTCAGCAGTATAAAAGTTTAAGAACCATCGCAATTTTGGTACATTGACTGGATCTAAGCACCTGTCAGAATACACTTAACCTTAATACACTATTATAACAAGTATTCGGTTATCTTGTTCATATATGACATGCAATATTAAATTCCTTATGTGTTAGATTAATTTCTCCCATGGTACATAACTGGGGAGTTTTACTGACTTTAGATCCAATAAATTAAATAGTAGAGACAAAAGAGTATTTAATTTAATCATAGAATCCTAGAATATCGGGGTTGAAAGGGACCTCAGGAGGTCATCTAGTCCAACCCCCTGCTCAAAGTAGGACCAATCCCCAACTAAATTTAGCCCCATTATTGTAGGCTGTGATGCTGGTCAGCAGAGAATGAAGTTGGAATTGCAGTTTCTCTGCAGGGAAGGGTGTCCTCTTCTTTCCGATGAGCTACTGTTGATGTGGCTGATGAGTTGTTCTTTTGAAGCCTCTATTTTATCACATCTGTTTATATATAGGTTAAACAACTGCCTAATTTCTTTATATTTATTTCAAATGGATTTTTGGATAATTTAGCCTCCAAAATTAAATGTTGTGAATTTTTGAATTTACAAAATATGTTTTCTGTAACATTTAAAGATTCAAGTAGAATTGTACTTTTTTGGTGAGGATTTAAACACTTTTTCTTACAGTTACAGATGGAGCATTGTGTCAAGCATATGGACACCTGGAAAATACAACTAACTGAGTAGAAGAAAAATTGACTAGATTTCTGTTTATTATGAAAATCTTATTGATATATTAGCAGCAGATAGAATAGGTGGTGAAAAATAAACTAGTTTCAGTAGTCTTAAAGGTCTGGTAACCCAAGATATTTTTTTAACAGGACAGTGTCCCTTCCTCTAAATCTTACTTTTCCTGACATCTAATACCACATTTTTGCCTTATTTTGGCAGTGATAGCGAGCTAAACTTCTCTATACCTCAGCCCAGCTCTTATTCCTAACTGTCACAGACCCCTCTAAGTTTTGCATTCCAACTTTGTTCTTGGGCTTTGACAGTTCCATTTTAGATTGTATATGTGATTTCCCACGCCTTGGATGCTGGCTGTTTCTCAAGAGCTTTATGGTATGACTAGACAAAAGTCTGTATTCCAAACCACTGAGACTTGGACTCCTTCCCTCACCAGAATGGGCCCTTTACATGCTCTTTTCTGATTCCCAGAAATAATTTTGGGGGTGCGCATGCTGATGCCTCAGGTTTTTTTCTGCGCCAAGACCTCACCAAGGATAAAACCTCTTCTCTGCTCCATGTGATTCCTGCTGCTTGTGGCCTCAGGTGGTAGGTTTTAGCCCACAACATCACCGTCAATCAGTGCGTTTTGAGCTGTCCCCCTGAATTATTGGTTGGAACTCTGATGCCAAATATGTGTCCACCCCACCAAGATGGATTCTCACCAAACAGCATAGATGGGATTTCATTTTTCATTTACCTGAGCCAGGGATGAACCCAGAAGAGTCTCCAGCCTCTGCCTTCAACCAGGAAGTGGAATTGGGGACTGAGAAATGAGGATCGTGATTAAAAAAAACCTAAACTATTAATTAAAGAGAAAGTTTAAAAACAAGTTTAGGGTAGGAGCTCCCACACCTGCAAGATCTCACTAGATTTAATTAGGGTGGTTAAGAAACCGTTAAAGTGAAATGCAATTGATAACCTGAGATTAAGATTATATTGGTAAACAACAACTTCACTGACCACCCTAATGTATGTTCCAGGCTCTGACTTCCCTGTTGTTTTGAGGTCCTGCTGATCCATTTCTTTTTTCAAACTTGGTCTTTGTCAGAACATATTATGTACATGAGGCGGGTCAGAGAATGGATGTAATAAACAGAAAATGCTGTCTGTGTTTTAGTTACCAAACTACCATTTCTGATGGGGGCATAGTTTCTCTGCATAAGCAGGCCAGGAAGCCACTCTGGTGGCAAAATTTTGAGCTGACTTCCTCGTTGTGACACAGGCTTAACAGAGTTGGGAAAGTTTGCTTTAGTTTGCAGTTTAGGTCACTCTGAACCCCACCTCTGGTTCCTGCTTTCGAGGTAAATTCCTTGTATCGCAAATACTGTAGCCATTAATTTTACAGTCTTATATTATAGTAAGAGCAGAAGCAACTGCTATAGTGGCTATAGTCAAGGCTACACAAACATTTCTGTTCCATCTGAAATCTATCAGGCTAAAACTTTCCATAACTTCCATCTTTTCTTAAGGTGAATGTCTTTGAAAGTTTGGGCAAAAACAGTTCAGCTGTTGAATAGAAAAGGGCCAAAGATACACTTTGTTCTAATTTAAAAAAAAAAATGCAATGCAGCCCAAGTAGTGAGGAGCGGCAGAGAAAAAGTTAGAATTTAGCATGGAAATAGCCTTTGATTGTTCTGGTGAAAACTGATTTTGAATTGACCGGATCATGACCTGTTGAAGATGATACATTTTAAATGGGAATTTCTTGCTAAAGTCATAATAAAAATTCCAAGGGACGAAAATCGTTTGGGGGAGAAAAGTAGTATTTGTCGAGGACCACAGAAATGTCAAAGATTATAAGTTAGATGTAGCATAAAACTCTTATGGCATTAATAAGACAAACTCTGTCCTCTGTAAAACTGACAAAATGCTTTAAGTCAAGGACACTACTCATCTAAGGTACACTGCAGCAGAGTTACCTTCTCAGTGAGAGGTGCTTCCATCCTGTTGACCGTAGGAAGTCTGCAGAACAATTGCATCAATCCATTGTACAGTTCCCCAAACCTTAACTCACATTCACCTTCGGAATACAGCTACAGTAGAACCTCAGAGTTACAAACACCAGAGTTACGAACTGACCAATCAACCACACACCTCATTTGGAACCAGATGTATGCAATCAGGCAGCAGCGGGGGGTAGGGGGGAACAAATACAGTGCAGTAGTGTGTTAAATGTAAACTGCTAAAAATATAAAGGGAAAGATTAAAAAAAAATAGATTTGACAAGGTAAGGAAAATGTTTCTGTGCTTGTTTCATTTAAATTAAGGTGGTTAAAAACAGCATTTTTCTTCTGCATACTAAGTTGCAAAGCTGTATTAAGTCAATGTTCACTTGTAAACTTTTGAAAGAACAACCGTAACATTTTGTTCACAGTTACAAAGAAAACCTCCATTCATGAACTGTTTGTAACTCTGAGGTTCTAGTGTAAATAGTTATGCCAGCGGGTTCACTACGGCTTTCTTTAACACTGCACATTTCCCTGCTCAGCCTAGAGAAAAAGGTATTTGCTTTGTAGTGTTTATACCGCACACTTTTACTCTTTATGGAATGTTGGGGGTTTTTTCAGTGTAATCTCTTTTTTAAATAGTGAGTGACGGGTTGGAATTGAGACCAAAATACAATGGGATTCTACACTGTTTGATCACTGTCTGGAAGAGTGAAGGACTACGTGGCCTGTACAAAGGGGTAACTCCAAACATGTGGGGTGCAGGTGCCTCCTGGGGACTCTACTTTTTCTTGTAAGTGGATCTGTAGAATATTAATATTCTATGCAAAGTGATCCTTGAATATGCAAAGTGAATCCTTGCACTTTGATTTTGGGGAGATGGTGAGGGTGCATAAATATAAATGTTTCCCTTTGTCATCACTTGATATTTTAAGTCTTATTTAGACTGTAAGCAGTTTAGGACAGGGATCTGTAACTGTTGTAAAGTATAGTGCATGCCTTGGAGGGTAGTGTGGCCTAATGAATAGAGTACTGGATTGGAACCAGGGTGGATTGATTTAAATCAGTTTTAATCATCCTTTAACCAACTGTACTCATGATTTATTTTAACTTAATCACTTTTAATGTTGTCTTGTGTTTGTACTTTAGTTATTTTCCTAAAGAAAGATTCATTCTCACTGGTTGGTATAACCATTCAAAATGTTGATTTACAACTAGATAAAGTCTTGACATGAAATATGGTATGTTTTTGCTAATCAGGAGAATGCACTATGTCTATACACTTACTTAGCAATTATTTAGTGTAAAACACATTGAGTCTTGGGTTTCTTACATTTTTATTAGAAAATTGTGAACGATGCATTTTATTTATTAGATTATTAATTTTTATTTGCATCTTTTCTAAGTATTTGAATAGAAATTGAAACTCAAGTACACAAAAACAGCATTTTAAAATAGTTTTTATTAGTTAAATAAAACTACCTTAAATGTACTGGATACATAAGAAAAAGATCATCAAAACATGCTTTGTATTAAAACTTATTGCTTTATTAAGGAAATACTACAGCGAATTGACACAATTATTTCTGGTCACCATGTGCTTCAAGATTTTAGAAGTAGTAGATCTCATCCTCACACCCCATTTTTATTCATGGATTGGAAGAGGGAAAACAAGTTTTCCTGTTGTTTTTCCAACTTCCAATCAGATTCTTTACTTTGATTGAACTATTTGAATAGACTAAAATTAAAAAAAAAAGTCTCTGCACCTGCAGAAGAGGGTACTGCTGTCAATAGCTGGTTTATCACTTCAGCAAATTCTGGTTTCAGGTGCTTAGCCAGTGACTTTGACCAGGTCAGTGGTTCAGCTTTCTTTAAAACTTTGTCAGCAAACATAGAAAACATAGCAGTGTAGGTCTATTAGGGTCCTCAAGGTGAGGTAGTCCATCCCTTCACAGTGAGGTAGGAGCAAGTATACCTAGACCATCCCTAATAGTTGTTGGTCTAACCTGTTCTTAAAATCTTTCCATTGCAAGAATTCCATAAATTCCCTTGTAACCTATTCTAATATTTAATTTCCTTATAGTTAGAAAGTTTTTCTTAATTCTTAATATCTAACCTAAATCTTCCTTGCTATAGCTTAAGCTAATTAGTACTTGTCCTACTCTCAGTGGATATGGAGAACAATTGATCACTGTCCTCTTTATAATGGCACTTAACATTATTTGAAGACTGTTACTGATTCAAGTGCCCTCCCCTCTCCCCCTGCTGTGTCAGGACTAAACATATTCAGTTTTTTAAAACCTTCCTCGTAGGTCAGGTTTTCTAAACCTTTCATTATTTTGTTGCTCTCCACTGTCCAATTTGTTCATGTTTTCTTAATGCCTGGTGAACACAACTGGACACAATACTCCAGCTGAGGTCCCCAGTGCTAAGTAGAGCAGAACAATTACCTCCTATGTCATACATACCACATTCCTATTAATACACCCCAGAATAATATTAGCCTTTTTCACAACTGCATCACATTGCTGGCTCATATTCAATTTGTGATCCACTATGCCCCAGAGTGTCTTTTCAGCAGTACTGCTGCCTAGCCAGTTATTTCCATTTGATTTTTCCTTCCAAAGTGTAGTACTTTGCACTTGCCTTTACTGACTTTCATCTTGTTGATGTCATGAAAATTCTCCAATTTGTCAAGGTCATTTTGAATTTTAATCCTGTCCTCCATAGTTCTTGCTACCCTTCTCAGCTTGGATTTTATAAGCATTCTCTCTGTTCCATTATCCAAGTCATCATCAATGAAAATGTTGAGGAGTTCTGTACCCAGGACAGAACTGCAGGGCCCCACTAGGTACATTCTCCTGGTTTGACAGTGAGCCATTGATAACTACTTTTTGAGTACAGTCTTTCAACCAGTTGTGCACTCACCTTATATTTATTTCATCTAGACTGTATTTCCCTAGTTTGCTTATAAGAATGTCACGTGGGAGAAGCCTTATTAAAATGAGGGTGTAGCACATCTATAGCTGTTCCCAACCACTAGGCCAATAACTGTCAAAGAAGGAAATTAGGTTGGTTTGGCATGATTTGTTCCTGACAAATCTACGTTGGCTATAGCGTATTACCCTATTATCCTCTAGGTGCTTACAAATTGATAGTTTAATAATTTTATTCCAGTGTCTTTCTAGGTATCAAAGTTAGGGTGACTGGTCTATAATTCATTGGGTCCTCTTTGTTTCCTTTTTAAAGATAGGTATTAGGTTTGCTCTTTTCTAGTCCATTGTGATCTCACCTGTCTCAAATAAGTCCTTGAAGATATTCACTAACGGTTCTGAGATTGCTTCAGCTAGTTCCTTAAATACTCTAGGGTGAATTTCATAAGGCCCTGCTAACCTGAACAAATTTAACTTGTTCTTTTCCTGTTCTGGCTTGTGTGCCTTCCCCTGTTGTAAATGTTATGTTAAGTGTCTGGTCACAATTAACCTTTTTAGTGAAGACAGGAGCAAAATAAGCATTAAAGAGTTCAGCCTTCTCAGTGTCATCCATTATTAGCTCTCCTTCACTGGTAAGTTGTGGACCTATGCTTGCCTTCTTCTTTTTCTTGCTCCTACTGTATTTATGGAACCTCTTCTTATTGCCTTTTACATCCCTTGCTAGGTGTAATTCATATTGTGGCTTAGCCTTTCTGATTTTGTCCTTGCATGCTTGCACTATTCTTTTGTACTCATCCTTTGCAATTTTTTCATATTTCTACTCTTTGTCGATTCCCTTTTGATTTTCAGGTCATTAAAGAGCTCCAGATGGAGCCATATTGGCCTCCTAATATTCTGTTTAGCTTTCCTTGGCATCAGGATAGTTTGTTGTGCCTTTAATATTGTCTCTTTGAGAAATCGACAGGTCTCCGGAACTCCTTTAACATGTACTACTTACATTAAAAAGTATGTTTTATTTCCTTTTTGTGGTTATAATTTCAAGTTTAATTTTTTAAAAATCAAATTTTTAATCTAAATCAGATTTTTCTTTTTCTTTTTTTTTTATTATTGATTTTTATTCACTCTGTCTGGGATTCAGGAGACCTGGATTCTATTCATGGCTCTGCCACTGGCCTGCTGGGTGACCTTGGGCAAATTATTACCTCTATGTGCCTCAGTTTCCTCGTCTGTAAAATGGGGAGGATAATGATATTGACCTCCCTTGTAAAAGGCTTTGAGAGCTGATGGAAAGTACTGTATAAGAGCTAGGTTTTATTATTATGATGCTGCAGAAATATTAAATAACTTTACTTGTAGCTTGTCTGTCTTCAGTGGAAAATGGTGAACAGCAGATTCCCCAGGATCTGTACTGGTACCTGTGCTGTTCAACACATTAATTAATGATCTGGAAAAGGGAGTGAACCGTGAAGCAGCAAAATTTGCTGCTGATAGAAAATTATTCAAGATAGTTCAGTCCAAAGCAGACTTTGAGGAGTTACAGAGGAATCTTACAAAACTGGGTAAGAAAATGGCAAATTAAGTGAGATCTTGGAGTAACTGTGGATAGTTCTTTGAAAACTTCCACTTCATGCCCAGCAGCAATCTAAAAGTCTCTCAGTATGTTAGGAACTATTAGGAAGGGGATAGAAAATAAGGCAGAAGATACAATACCACTTTATAAATCCATGATGTGCCCACACCTGGGATACTGTGTCCAGTTCTGTTTGTCCCCTCTCAAAAAGGATATAGTGGAACTGGAAAAGGTTCAGAGAAGAGCAACAAAGATAATCAAGGGTATGGAATGGCTTCCATATTAGGAGAGACTAAACAGATAGGGGGTGTTCAGCTTGGAAAGGAGATTTCTAAGGAGAGAGATGAGAGGGGTCTATAAAATCATGAATGGTGTGAAGAAAGTGAATAGAAAAGTGAAACCCTTTCCAAAAACTAGGGGTCACCCTATGAAATTGATAAGTTTAATACAAACGAGGAAGTACTTTTCACACAACATGCAATTAACCTGTGGAACTTATTGCCATGGGATGTTGTGATGGCCAAAAGTATAACAGTTCGAAAAAGAACTGGATTGGTTCATGGAGAATAGGTCCATCAATGACTATTAGCCAAGCTCCCTGTGCGCCCCACCCGCGTCGCCTACCTCCGGGCCAGGGGTGGGCAAACTACAGCCTGCAGGCCAAGATTGCCCCCCCGGTGCCGCGAGTGCCGCGCTGCTCCTGGCATCACGTCCCTGCGGGGGTTGGGGTGGCACAGAGGGCTCCGTGCGTTGCTTCCAGGCACTGCCCCCTGCAGCTCCCATTGGCCAGGAACGGGGAACCGCAGCCAATGGGAGCTTCGGAGAAGGTACCTGGAGGAGCAGCAAAAGCAGCGCATGGAGCCACGTGCCCCACCCCTCCTCCAGGGGCCACAGGGGCGTGGTTCTGGCTGCTGAGCGGGGCCAGGGCAGGCAGGCAGGGAGTCTGCCCTGACTGGTGCCACCCTGGAGCCACTCTAGGTAAGTGGCGCCTGGCCGGAGCCTACACCCCTCCTGCACCCCAACTCCCTGCCCTGAGTCCCTGCCGCACCCTGCACCCCTCCTGCACCTCCTGGGGGCAGGGAGGGAGCAGAGTTGGGTTGGGGACTTCAGGGAAGGGGTTGGAATGGGAGCAGGGCCTCATGGAAGGGGTTGGAATGGGGGTGGGGCCGGGACAGTGTGGGGGTGTCAGTGATGAGGCCCTCAGGCCAATGCTCTAGTCCTCATGTGGCCCTCGTGGTCATTTGAGTTTGAGACCCCTGATCTAGAGCTTATTCTCTTCTGACTTCCACCTGTTCACCTCCCAGTGAAAGTTCACTCAAAATCCAGAATGCAGACCAGAGGGCATGAGGTCAATCCAGCAGATAAAGATTGATGTAATGTAGTGCTAGAAAATGAATACCTACCACCTAGGTTTTATGAAGAGGCAGTCTTTTGTCTTATAAACATCTCATACAAACTAATTCTTCGCTTAAGATAAAAATTACAGGGTGCAGTCCCATTGTTGTCATCTAGGAATATTCTGTCACTTTAAAGAGTACTGTTGTAAAAGATATTTAAATAGCCTAAAGCTACAATTCAGCAATTTGTATTGCATCTGACTGAGACAGGTTAATCTCTGACTCTGTCTGCTCTCTAATGGGCAATGGTGCATAAAGTAATCTTTAAAAACCTTTTCCTAAATGATCTGTATTTCTTCTATCTAAATATGTTTTACCTCTTCCAGCTATAATGCCATCAAAGCCTACAAGGAGGAAAGAAAGCTGGAGGGTCTTGGTGCAACCGAACACCTAGTGTCAGCTGCTGAGGCCGGTGAGGAAAATGCAAGCGAGATTAATGTTTACCTTCAGCCTGTCCATATGCTGTTTTTGCCTTTGTCTGTCAATGTTGCTTTTTCTTCCAGATGGCAAGTGCAAGTGTTTCAGTCCAGCTGCATTCACTTATAAAGTAATAAATAATTTAATACTGTTTGGTTGGACAGCTGTGTGTTCTACATTTTTATTCATAAATAGCAACCACTAAAATGTTTTATGGCTGCCTAGCCCTCTTTTCTTAATATTTTATACAAATTCTAGTGCATAAACTATATGCAGCTGTTCAATAAAAGGCCAAAATTTATTAAACACATCCTTGTAATATAATGTATTAGTGTTAATTTTGTGCACTTAGAATGACACACAAAAGCAGATATAGGACCCAATCAGGCACCCATTGAAGGCAGTACAATAACTTGGTTGGCTTTAATAAGCATTGGATTGGACCTGTAGTGTCAATAAGATCTTGAATTCAGATACATTTAATTCTTAAAGAATAAAATGGATCTGAATTCCAGAACTTATCGACACTACAGGTCCAATCCAATGCTCAAAATATCTTACCTACAAAATAAAAATATCTGATCTCTGCAATTTTTAATCTAAGTCATTTCTAATGTTCTTGTGTTCTTGTACACATTTCTCTGATATAGATGGTAATCTTGGAGCTTTGGAAGAGTTCTTGTTGCAGTATTACACATTAAATTGTATCCTTAGTTTGTCATTACTTTACAGTCCTATGACTTAAAGTAATCTGTAAAGCTACATCAGGTCAATCATTCTGACAGAGCGAGGTGGTTCATTACATGGACACTTTATTTCTGTGCCCCCTTGTTTAATTTTGAAATTTTGTGTACCATAAGGCTAAATTGAGATAATTAAAGCACAAATAAAATAATACTAGCTGCTTATGTCCAGATTCCACCATTTGGACCCTGGTGGACTAAAGGAGGAGATATCCACTAGCCCCAATGTAAAGGATACACAGGGAGCCCTGTGGTCTGCAGCATGCTTTTCTGCACAGACTCCCCAAATTGTACCAGTTTCCCCTCCCACCCTCTGTTCAGCAGAACTGTTGCGGCAGGATTTGGCTTTCAGAGTTAAGAGGAAAAGAGTGGGATGCTTACATTTTTCTTGTTTAGTGCTCTTGTAGGATGGGGGTGTGTGTGTTTTGTACTGAATTGAACAAAGGGGTACAAACTTTCAGAGTGGCATTCATAATATTAGTCTAACTTCCATCTGTTCTTAGGAGTCATGACCCTCTGTATCACAAACCCAATATGGGTAACGAAGACGCGGCTTGTGTTACAATATGATGCTGGCATTGATTCATCAAAGCGCCAGTACAAAGGAATGTTTGATGCTCTTATAAAGATATACAAGCTCGAGGGTATACGTGGTTTATACAAGGTAATATAATTTGACATAATGGAGAAGAATTCTGGAATTTATCATGGGTGTAATAGCACTGTGGCTCTTGTGGAATTGGAAAGTTGTTACATGTTACTATAAAAGCTACCTTTCATCATCTCATAAGCCTATTTCTACCACACCAGAGGATTGCAGCAAAAAAAGCTTATAATGGTAAGTAAAGGTTGCAGAAGGATAAGCAGTAGTGAAACTGGAAGAGGGAAGACTATGGGGTACGTGGACAAAAGCATTGTGGGCTGAAACTCAGATGAGAGGAATATGACTAAAATAGAAAAGTTGAATCGAGAACTGCTTTTGTTTAATGATCATGAATTTTTCTTCTGTAGTATTCTCTTCTAGTCGTTGGAGGAGAGAGGTGGTGGCAACAGGGCATAATTTCTAGGGCAGATTGGTGCTGTTACTGATCAAACTGTTCCCCGTCATCCAATCCCATCTCTCTGCCTGTCTTTCTGACATCTCATGAATGTCCAACCATCATCTTAAATGCAGTGTGACTGAAACAGAATTATTAATCTTCCCTCCATTACTATGGACAATACTGCAGTCACCTCCCACATCCCATTCCCAGGCATTTAGGCCTGTAATGTGTCATCTTCAGCTCTGGATCCACACATTTTGTAGGATTTTAAATTTGGCTACAACTACTAGCTACACAACTGCAAATGTGGCTTTTATTCTTTTGGTGTGAGAATTTATTTAGGGAAACAAAATACCAGCTTGATTTGAACTTCGTTCTGCGTTCCTTCCTTCAGGCCATGACATTAGGACAGTCATGGATACCTTGGAGACCTGAAGAACTCTGGTTCTTCTAATCCAGCTAATGCGGAGGAACAGGCTTACTGACTCTTAGCAACTATGGGTAGGTTACTGAATGTTAATCTCCCTTATTTGCTGCGGGAAACCTGATCCCAGTCTCTGAGATTGTTGTAGCAGGTACCAATGAATGCCAAGTTCTGATAACTCTGAAACAAAATATTTCACTTACTCCTTAACCTGAAGTTGCTGGGATTCTTTGGTGTGCCTGGATAAATGTTTGTTCTGTTCCATGTAGATCAGTTCTAATTTCTTGCATCTGTTAGGACTTCTTAAATTCTGTTCCATTGGGTTGCCTTTCAGATTTTCCATGTGTTTAGTATGTGTCTTGGCCTTGGATGCTTCTCTCTAATGCTAATCTTACGTGCAAGAGTAGGCATCCAAGCTAGGTACTTCCTTTGAAAGAGCCTATAATAGCTGTTATCTAAAGAAGGTTACCCACATAAGTATCCACATCAAGCAACTTTTGCTTGAGATTAGGCCTGTTTCAGCCTGTTATATTCTAGTCTAGAGTAGTTAAGGCCTTTTCTTTTTAAAGAAATTAAAGCATGGAATGACTTTCCCTGCTGCTTCATCCTCTGTGTGCCATGTTTGAAGCTTTGTGAAGTTTTGTTTAGTATGAACTAGAGAGTCTGTGACCTACGAACACAAAGCTTCAGAGTAACAGCCGTGTTAGTCTTTATTCTCAAAAAGAAAAGGAGTACTTGTGGCACCTTAGAGACTAACTAATAGCTTACCAGCAGGAGAGTGAGGTAGGGGGAGAGAAAACCTTTTGTAGTGGTAAACACCCATTTTTTCATGGTTTGTATGTATATAAACATCTTCTGTATTTTCCACAGTATGTATCGATGAAGTGAGCTGTAGCTCACGAAAGCTTATGCTCAAATAAATTGGTTAGTCTCTAAGGTGCCACAAGTACTCCTTTTCTTTTTGAGAACACAAAGCTGTATTCAGTATTCTCTTCAGATAACCATTTTTGCAGATGAATAAGGTACACTTCCTCATTCTCCACAGTTGTGTCTAACTGATTCTTATCTCTCATATTTCACTGCCTATGTTTCTCTTCTTTAGCTTGTGGGCTGCAGTCTTCCTCTGGTGGATGAGTGACTTGGAATCTAGCCCTCCAGCCAAACCACAGTAAAGAGTTCTCCGTCTGGACTCTAATTATCCCAAAAGCAAAATGCATCTCTTTCTCACCCCACTTACCCAGAGTTGCCCTCTCTGAACTGAACAGTTTCTTTTGCAATCCCTGAAAAAGCTTTCTCTTTAGCCTGTTGTGCACATGGCCTTGCATCCACAATTTTCAGGCCTGCCTGGGATTGGTAGTTCATTTGCCCTGTTGATACAGGGTTCCTCAATAACTTGCCTTTCCTGAATTAAGCAGTTTTTTTTTTTTCTTGATCCTCCCCAGGCCAAATCAGTAGTCATTCTATTGATGCGGGGTGAAGGAGGCTTCATTCAACCCAGCTTGTGGTCCCAAAATAAGCACAAGTGCCCAGTGCCAGGTCTCAAGCCTGCACCCTTACTATATTGCCTCAGGCCTTTTCCTTCAGATACTTGATGCTCGAGTTCTGTTCTCTTCACCTGCCTGTTTCTTTAGTCCATCCACAAGGTTGTTTCTTTGGTGAAGAGACCAGAGAGAGAGGCTCTGCCAAACTGAGGCAAGAACAGTTCTCTGTTTATAGCCTAGCTGTCACATAATATGCCCTGCCCATCATTGCCTCCTGGAGACTTCATCTGCCAGAATTCCCTTGTTTGAAAGGGTTGAGGCCCAGTAAACAGCAAGCTGGTCTTACCAGGTCTTAAAAGAGCCGGCACAGTAATCCCAGGCCTGAGCATGCCAAATCATGATTTAGGCCCCAAAAATATCATGAGGTTGGCTTAAAAATAATGAGATTTAAAATATACTAATTTTTTTGGTTCTCTATTTGACTTGGTGACTTCAAGGTTCATGTTCTTTAGCTTTTCTCCATAACCATTAGGGCTAAAATCTTAAATTAAAAAATAAACAGATTCTCATATAATCACAAGACCCCAGGTGCTGGGGTTTTAAGAAAAACACCGAATATTGTGAAACTCATAATAAAATCACTTGAGTTAGCATGTCAGCTATATAGTCCATTTTGTGTTTTTCCTTAGATTAAAGCTACTGATTAACAATAAATCCTTTGTTGAGCGGATATGTAAACATATCTTGAAAGGGACTATAGCAGAGATTTTTTTTTAAGTATCATGCCTTGGCTACTGCAGTCTCCTCCTCAGATGCCTCCAAACCTGCATCCTTCGAGATCATCTGAGTTCAGGGTGAAGTGACAGCAGCAATTAGAAATAAAAAAGCAAAATGTAACACATGGAAAAGGAGGGAGTAGATAGCTTCCCTTATCAATTTTTTGCACTTCATAATTTGTAATTCATTGATTCCAAAGAATACAAGGGAAAAATCCATGGCTGGCAGGGCTAAGGACAATAAGTAGACGTTTTTAATTATATTGGGAACAAAATCCTAGCAATGATATAGACCCATTGAAATGGTATAATTGTTGATTATGAAGAAAAGGAAGAAGTGTTCAATAAATATTTCTGTTCTGTATTTGGAAAGAATCAGGATGATGCTCTCATCATATGACAATGATAATACGTTCCAGTCCATCAGTAACTGAGAAGGATGTTAAACAACATCTGCTAGTGATAAATTTGTCTGAGTGCAAGTTATCCAGGCCTGCTGATGTGAGAGTCCTAAAAGTGTTGGCTGAATAAGGGAAAAGCTGACATTGAATTCAACTGGTTGAGTAGTAAAAGATGGAAATATAATTAATGCTAGTCAACATGTGTTTAGGGAAAATAGGTCTTGTCAAGCTTGATATTCGTCATCTTTTAGATTAAAAGTTTGATAAAAGTAATTGCGTAGATATAATATACATAGTACAGTGCAACATTCTCATTAAAAAATTAGCATTATATAGTCTCTATAGAATTCACATTAAATGGATTAAGAAGTGGATAACTGATAGATCTCAAAAAGTAGTCGTCAGTGAGGAATTTTTGAATGTAGGGGTGTTTCTAGTGGGGTTCCACAAGGATTGGTAGTAGGCCCGATGCTATTCAGCATTTTCATCAGCAACAAATAAATAATATAAAATCACTACTGATAAAACTTGCAGAATTGCTGGGCCGAGCTTCCCTTAAAAGGCCAGCCATCCTGTGATGTATTCACAACGGAACCTGGCGACTGGCAAGTAGTGATCACTGCTAATAACTGGCTAAGAACCTGAACTCATTCTTTTGGATTTGTTACCTTGTCTCCCCTAGCCAATTATTTGTCTTGTCCGCTTGTAGCATAGTCTAAAAGACATGACTTCTCCCCGTCCTGCATTCCCCCAAGCACCTCAGAAGGTACACACTCAGGAGGGGTTGGGTGTGCTTGACCTCTTGAGGTCCAGGGTCATTTTGCCATTGTGGGTCTCTGTGTTGAACTCACAACTCCCCGCACTGGAGATCTGGATTATTCAAACTGCTACTCCATCAGCGGTGCCTCCTGGGAAATAATGGGTAACCCACCCTAACGGGATACCATACTCCATTCATAAATAAGTACACAATTCTCAAATTACCAAACAACTCCAGTAAGCTTTATATAAACAATAGAAATTATAAACACAAAAAATGTCAAGAACAAAATATACTAAATAAATATATATGAACATGGATAGTTTTTTTTAAATATATACAAAGCCGTCTGTAGAGGATGCTATAAACCTCTTTTTATATCTCTTTTGGTCACTTAAAACAACCACCCACAAAGTCTCCCTGACTCTAGTTATTATGTCAGCCCTCTAACACAGGGGTTCTCAAACTGGGGGTCAGGACCCCTCAGGGGGTCACGAGATTATTACATGCGGGTGGGGTCGCGAGCTGTCAGCCTCCACCCCAAACCCTACTTTGCCTCCAGCATTTATAATGGTGTTAAATATGTTAAAAAGTGTTTTTAATTTATTGGGGGAGGGGTCTCGCTCAGAGACTTGCTATATAAAAGGGCTCACCAGTACAACGGTTTGAGAACCACTGCTCTAACGTGTCAGTCCCAAGTCCAGGTACCTATCAGTGGTGCACTTGTAGACATTGCAGGCACTGTGGCCTGGTGTCTTGTCTGAGGGGGTCCAGTGATCCACAGAGCAATCTGAATCTTGGAAATAGCTGGGATGATCTGAATCCTTCTCTTCTGGGGTAACAATCTTAGACACCAGCTTTTTGCTTTTCCTCCTGGGTGAAGTAACTGTTCGTGATCAGGCTGTTGGCTGTGGCAGCCAGCTGAACTGTTCATCAGGCAGTCACTGCCCTCAGAGTGGCATGGCAGACCCTGTGGAAGCCCAGTTCAATGGAGTTTCCCAACTAAGGATTGGGGAAAAAAAAAGTCAATCTGTGAGGGGAGCTGGATGCTCCCTTCCTGTCTGGTGCTCTCCGCCACCATCTCACTCACCCTTTCCGATGTCGCCTCAAAGGAGGGGCTACCTCCTCCTTGTCTCTTTCTCAACTATTTGTAGTGTTTTAGTCGTGCAGGTCCCAGGATATTAGAGACACGAGGTGGGTGAGGTAATAGCTTTCATTTTATTTTATTTAGAAGAGCTCTGTTTAGCTGGAAAGTTTGTCTCTCTCTCCAACACAAGTTGATGCAATAAAAGATATTGTCTCATCCACCTTGTCTATCTACACTGTTACCCAGAGGAATACAGAACCATCTTCTCTCTCCCAGATCCCTGGGGTAGAGAACCAATCAGAAGTCCCCTGTGTCGGGACATCTGGAGCTGCTGGTTTAGTTCCCTCCCTCCAGCCTCCTCTCTGCTTAAGAGAGGGTTGACTGACAACAGAGCAGCAGTGCTTCTGGGATGCAGTCTTCAGCCCTGGCTGGCCCAGATAAGTTTCACCCCCTTATGGCAAGGAGGGGGGGGGGGGGGGTTTACAGCTGTAAACTCTGTGTGGCAGGGGCTGATGTTTAGATAGACGTTTTTGTATGGTATGTAGCACAACAGGGCCGAACCTGGTTGTAGTCTTTAGGTTTTACAACAATATAAATGAGTTGTGTGTATTGGGAGGGGAGCGCAGAGCATATGTTGGAATAAGCAGATGCAAGCAGGTTGTCTAGCTTTCAAGGGTTGCAGATTAACCTGTTGTTTTTTTTTTGTTGTTTTTTTAATAAAAATGTTTTAGGGATTTGTGCCTGGTCTGTTTGGAACTTCACATGGAGCACTTCAGTTCATGGCATATGAAAATCTGAAATTGAGATACAATAAGCATAGAAACAGACTATTGGATACAAAATTGGTAAGTTGCCTAAAATCGAAACGTTTATCTTTTTATAGTATGTGAGTATATGGAAACCAGAACTGTAGATCTAGAACATAGATCAGATGAGAGTGTACTGTTTGTGCAATTGCCACAAACTACCAATTGGTTAGCTATTAATGTTATGTTAACTTTTGGCAGATCACATAGGAAAAATAGGGAAAATACTCATTGTTTTTTCACTTTCGGTACAAATTACCTCATCACAAGACAGTTAGCACCGTTTTTTTACATGTTGGAGTAATCTACTTTTCATCTGAGAACTTGGGAAATCTTGTTTTGTTTTTGTTTTCTTGTTAAATTAACTTTTGGGAGAATGCTTGTAGTTCCACAAATATAAACAAATAAAAAAGTAGCTATACCAAAAAAGTAATTTATAATATACTTTTTAGGATATTACTTAAGTATGCTATTGAACTTGTGGTATAAATGAGAGCATCCAGTATAATCAGGTTTTACACCAAAATAAGTACATCTAATGCTAGTATTAATGTGTAATAAACATCAGCACTTCTTGGAACCTGTATACCCTTCTTATAGAAAAAAAATCTAGAGTACTGCTCCGTTCATGCTTTAAAAAGCAGTGTGATAGTTCCCAGCATTTTTAGTTGTCTGTAATTTGACTTAAACTAACATTGGTAACTTTCTTACAATTTTAGACTGCTTTAGAATACATTACCATGGCAGCACTATCCAAAATATTTGCTGTATCAGCAACATACCCATATCAAGTAGTGCGAGCTCGTCTTCAGGATCAACACAATCGGTACTCTGGAATGGTTGATGTTATTCGCAGGACATGGAGGTAGGCATAGAGAAGTAAGAATGCAATTCTGTGAAAATGACCTCACCTTAATCAACAGATCTGCTCCCGGTCTGTAGTCAGTGTTGTGTCTGCTGACTTCAGTGACACATTTTTATTACTGTTTTTTTTCTGTTAGCTGTGTTGGTTCTGCAGGGCCAAGTGTGAATTGGATTCTGTTCCTCCTAGTACATCACCTGCTCAACGGAGTTATTTACTTAGGGCTTGTCTTCACGTACAGCACTACATCAGCACAGCTGCACTGGTGCGCCATTGCAGCACTTTAGTGAAGACGCTAACATACTATTGGGAGAGCTTCTCTCCTCAGCCTAGTTAATCCACCTCCCCGAGAGGTGGTACCTATGTCAATGGGAGACGGTCTCGCGTTGACATAGCAGTTTCTACAAGGAGGGTTAGATCAGTGTAACTACATTGCTCAGGGGTGTGGTTTTTTCGAACCCCTGAGCGATGTAGTTATACTGCTATAGATCTGTAGTGCAGACCTGGACTTAGTTAAATCTGTACAAACTCTTTGTAGTCAGTGGGGTTGCACAGGTGCAAGGGCTAGAATTTGAAGACAATGAAGATCAGGTGTAAAACTGAATATTGGGGACGGGGAGAGACATCCTGGGCTTCCATGTTTGTTTGTCGCAGTGATTTTTCATTCAAATCTGCTTAAAAATGTTCTTTCCCACCCCCCAAAGGAAAGAAGGAGTTCATGGATTTTACAAAGGAATCGTCCCCAATGTGATCAGAGTGACTCCTGCCTGCTGCATTACCTTTGTAGTGTATGAAAATGTATCGAATTTTTTGCTTAATTTTAGAAAAGAGAATAATTAAATTAAGCTAGAAGTTTGCATCCAGTGGAGTTTACTGTCCTTTATTTTTTGAAACTTGTAATCCGAGAGAAATATTGTACAACTGTCTATCTTGAGATTGTGAACTGCTCCAGTAATCAATGCAAGAATTTGGAGAGAACAACCCAAACTGCCTTCTCTTCTATTGGAGCTCTCCTGACCCCTCTATTTCCCTCTTCTCTGTGAATCAGCAGCCTCTGCCTGAAACAGCTGTTCCCATTCCAACCTTAGAACAGCACAGTGACTGTAAAAAGCCAGTCTTGCAACAGCCATGTCCTTCAGTGAACTGATCTCTCTAAATCAGCTTTTCCTATACAAGCGCAAGAAGCTGATGATGTCCAGGGTTAATTGAGTGGGTTTGTAAGGACATCAAAAGTTGTGACAGGTTCCAGATGTATCAAACACAGGGCCTCTCTTTGGCTGTGACCCAACAGAACTGTGTACATGCTCGTCCTCATGGTGGTCTGGAGTTTTCTAAATCCCATCCATGTGTAATTTGTCAGGTTTCAGAATGACAAATGCCCTGACTGCAGTGTGTGTGCAGTGCAAACCCTGACTCACTGGAGGAGACTGTGCGGGGGACAGCACAAACATTTAATTGGGGATTGGTCCTGCTTTGAGCAGGGGGTTGGACTAGATGACCTCCTGAGGTCCCTTCCAACCCTGATATTCTATGATTCAGAGTACCTTTAAGGTACAGTGTGGCTGGAGACAGTAAGGAGGAGGGCTGTTCACCCAGCCCATTATATTAAAATCTGCTAGACCTCCAGTTTTAGCATAATGTCCAAGGCATATTGCAAAATGTTTGCAGCATCAGACCTAAATCAGCGGTTAATGTGTCGCTGGCCACTTCTCCAGTTTTTCCTCTTAGAGGGAAAGATAAAGTCCCTCTTAGTTACAGAGATTACATGTAAACTCCAGGTTGAGTTTCAGACACATAGACATGTTTAATAAATAGCTTGATGCTTTTGCACTAGTTTTTGTAAATAACAGTAGTTTTCAAAGTCTTATTTTAAAGATGGATATTTCAAAATGTTGGTCTTATTTATTCAGGTTATTAATACCACAGCGTAGTCTTCCACCATAAGCACCATTTGAAACAGCGGTGGCATCCCAGGGGTCAGGATCAAGGGTACATGCTTTTCAGACTTTAGTTATTTTTAATTCTGCATCAGGAAAATTCTTTAACTACAATGAAAGCATTCAATTGTTTTGTATAAAGTATCAAATGAGAGTCAGGAGTTAATAAATGTAAATACAAGAATTATTCAGCCTGTAAGTTAAATAACTTGAAGCCAGGCAACTGGTTTACCTTTTTTATTGCTTAGGAAATTGATTATTCCGGAAGCTCATCCTTTCATAGTAAGCTAACGTAACTTATGACAAGTTCCTTATACATAAGAATTAATTTGGAGCTGAGGAATTGATTTCATTTTATGACCCTGGAATTTAGGACATTGCAAACGTTAAAATGTTGAGCATTCTTAATTCAACCATTTGAAGAGTAGCTTGATATTGAGAGGAATGTTTGTTTCAATTGACTAATCTGACTGCCTTCTTGGGTAATCTTTTGTGCATGTTTAAGGCTTTAATAACTAAGCTTCTTGGGGCAGGGACTATCTTTGTTCTGTGTTTGTACGACACATAGCATTGTGGGGTCCAGGTCTGTGACTAGAGCTCCCAGGTGCTACAGTAATACAAATAATAAATAACCCATTTCTACTCCCACTCACACAGACCTGAGAACATAAATGTCTAAATTATGAAATTGTTGGCATTCAGCGGAGATGGGATACTGTTAGGGTTCCATTAGCTAGCCTTCTTTGTTATATAGGCATTTTTTATATTTACATTTGAATGATAACTGAACTTACTCTAAGGCCACCATGTGAATTACGAAGCTTAACATCTCTGTATAATGCAGTTGTTAACTTTGTGTGCCTTATGAGGTTTTTATTTAAGAACATATCAAGTACATAATATGTAGGACTAATTCAATAGGGCATTGTGGTGTTAACCACTCGAAGATCAGAATATACTTTGAAATCCCATGAAGACAGTGGCAATGAACAAAGTTCTGGGGAGATCTATCAGCTGTATAGCTTGTTGGACTTCAGCAGCAGCACTGATGATATTTCCAGGTAGAAGAGCCTGACAGCCCTCCTAGCTTTAGGTTCGTTTATATAGTACCAACTTACTGCAAAATGGAGGTAGAAATTTGAGAGGGAAATGCTGTGACAATCTTAAAGAAATATGTATTGTATATTCTCTTCAGAACCTGGCTGAGCCAAAGTATTTCTTTTAAAAAAGTTAAAACGTGAATCTAAGCTGTGCAGGATTTTTTCTTTTTAATTCTAGGGAAAATTAGTCATTACACTTTCGCATGTTATACATGCTTTGTGACTTTTCCTTTGGTTTGGCTCTTCAGTGCAAAATTTGAGTTCTTTCTAACCACTTAACTTTTTTTTACGTTGTAAAAATTTAAGAGCCCTACTTTTGTTGGTACTGTCACTTGACAGCTGCATTTTGGAGTGAATACTTAAAATGCTACAGTTAGCTATGAGACATGCTGAATGATCAACATGATCATTTTATCTAGTCTTATGAGACTGAACACATCACCTTTGTAGCGTGATTGCTTCCAACACTTGCAAACTATTCTGAAGGCCATACAGAGTGAGGCATTTGAGCCTACCCTTATTTATTTTCTCCATTTCTATTAATGTGTAACGCACTTCATACTTTTGTGCTGCTGATTTATAATTATCTTAGCACCAAGGTGATACATGGTGACTGGCTAAGAAGACTCTGAAATAAACTAGTTTGTTGGGGAAATGAAATACCTTAATAATTAAGGTAAATCAACATTTGTTGTAGTAAAATTATCCAATATATTCACCATTATTAGTCTTCTTCAGTGAAACTGACTTTCATACTAAAAATAAATTGGGTGTTGAGAACCTCTTAATGAGTTATTTAACTTAGTGGGGAAAAAGCCAAAATGGTATGCTAAAAACTTAATCTTTTAAAATGAGATATTTTATGCTTATTATTGTCCTGGATCCAACTCTCACTAATATCAATGGGAGTTGAATCTACAGTAGAACTATAGTAAAGTTGAATAATCTAGTGCTACAGTAGTACAATCAGGTTCGTATAATATGATTTGATCCTTTTAAATAAGATTCTTGAAGTCTAAAATGAATAAAGTATAGTATTTTCTCCACAGATGTTACTTTCATGTCCGTCAAGCTACTCTAATACACCTGTTTCATAATAGCCATGTAAAAAGTAAAACCCTTTGCATTTTGCTGACAATAAAATAGCCTAGATTTTTGCCTCTTTTTGTAAAAGGTCTTATTTATTGAACAGATATAAAAAGATTTAATCTACAGTTTTTACAAGGGTGATAAATATTCAGTCCAAATGATAATAAAACTGGACAAACTTGTTTCTAATATTTGTTCTAAAATTATATGGTAGAAGAACTTGCCAGGTGTGTTTAACAGTGATGTGGCTACATGTTAAACAGTTCAGCTGGAAAAATTCGACCTGGGTGCTTGTAAGCAAGCTTGTGTATTCTGGCCAGATGCTTACAAAGCTCCAGAGAACTATTCAATTTCAAAGTAAATTGTACAAAACGTGTATAAAAAATTGATATGGGGGCTTTGGAACGATGGGTTATAAGGAGGTTTGGAAGAAACTTCTATTTCGGCAGCTCTTCAATGACGATACGAGAGACTGAATTCCATCCAGTAGAAGCATCACCTCTTGGGTAATCTGCACAAGTACCAACCCAGATAGCAACATCCACCAACCCAGCGCTGATTCCTTCACAAAGTCCTTCCACTGTTTAAAGACAAACATTGTATCTTATTTCAAATAATCAGTATCATTTATTTCACTGATTTTTTTTCCATATCCTGATTTATATAGTTAACATGCCAAAGAACAGCAGTTCAGTGCAACTCTCTCTACAGAAACTGCATTAGGTAAGGTTACTATGTTGTTAATGTTTAAATCTTTAGGGGGGGAGAACATTGTCTTCCAGGGTACCATGGCCTCGGTAGAAACTATCTGCAGCCAAATGTTTTTTAAACCATAATACAAAGTTTTAAAAGTAATTTAATTTTATGATAATCTATAGGAATAGTTTTTAACCATACACAGTTCCTTATTTCTGTCCATTTTTTCAACAGTCTCCACTGTAGTGGCAGTACTAATGGGAGACATGAGTAGAGTGGTGGAAAACCCATTCTGATACTTCACGGAAAGGCCTACTATGGCCACACAAGTGAGATTTCATGGATTTTCTTGTTACTTTAGAGAAATATTACCCCGGGGGAAGAGAGACAGAGTCAGAGGCCTTCTGTCATAGGCAAAAAGCTGAGCTGCTAGCTTCCCATGATCTTAGGCCTGTTACAAGCAGCAGTTGTTCTCCTGTGAAATCTTCTAGCCTATTCTGCTGCGCTGTGGTGAATATTCTCTATGCTACAACATCTGGTAAGTTAGATGTTGCAAGCCTTTGGTTTTATATACAATTTCTCTCAGCATATGTCTATAATTCAAGGTATTAAGGGGGACATATGGTGTAAGTATATTTCAGTTGTTACTCCCATTTTCCCTATATCATCATCTTTTGATATTGAACAAGAACTGTTGTTGTGATTTGCCCTTTTCTTAGAAGAGGGCATCATATAAGATGTGGACAACTAATTGTTCCGAATATGGTTTGGTTTAGCTTTTAACGTGATAGGTCTCACTGGTGAAGATGGGTTTGTGTTGGAAACTCCAGCAGAAATTAGTCTGCCCAAGAATATTGCATGCAATTCCATACCTGATACAAATAACTGCACAAAAGACAACACAGGTCCAATACATAAACTGCCTGCTTAGAAGGTGGTATCCCAGTTTCACCAAAGCACTAGTGCTATTTAGTTATACTGCAGTTGGGCATAGTGTCACACATGCCATTTTTCATCCTAATTTGAAGCAGCAGTAGTTGTTTAATAGAAACCTATCAAAGCTCAATGGGTTGGGCTGGATAAGGTAAGTCTCTTCATCTCTAACTTCTTGAATTTACTTAAAGTATGACTAAAGCTAGTAAAACCGTAAAAATAGAGTGGCAGCAAACCCAAATCCACAAGAAAAACTAGAGTTACTGTATTTTTAATACTTATACTAAATTTTGACACAGGTGGGAAAAATCAGCTAGCAACTGTCCCTCTCTGCCTCCCCTTTATGGACCCTAGACTTCTAAATAGATGTCCTTATGAGGTTCCCCATGTCACTTGTTAACTGCATCCTTATCTTGAACTCCATTCCTAAATACATGGCTTTGACATACATACCTGAAGAAGTGCGATGTATATTAATAGTTGAATTCAGCTCTGGGCTTCCTTGGTCTAAATAAATTATGGCTTCAATAGGAAGTGGCCCAGAACATTCGGCTCCATTAAATGTAAAATACCACCGCTGGCAGCATGCATTTTTGCATTTGAGTCGAAGTGATCCACTGAAGAGAACTCTTAGAGCACTGTTAGAGCGCATCTTTGTGAATGTACATTCCTAAGGAAAATAAGAATAAATTGTTGGCTGTGGCTTTTGAACCCACTTCACTAATTCTTTTGAGAATACATTAATCACCTTCTCTGTTCTCCCCATTCATTCCCCTGCTCCTTTTATTAAAAACTAGCACCTGACAAGTAAGTCAGTGCCCCAAAATACTGATCAGTGTTTCAAACACACCAGAGGATGGGGGAATGTTGAGATCCTATATTTTAATATGAGACAATGTATGCTGTCAAGTTAGGTATCTAAATATCTTTGGGGCTTTCCTTTCTCTCTTCTTTCTTTCCCAACACTCTCCTTCCTTGCAGGTAAGGAGAGTGTTACCAGCTCTCTCAAGCCAGTCCATACTCCACACAAAATGTTAGCCAGAAGAGGTTGATGGAAAGATGCAGGGTTATCTTGGTGCTGTACAAGGTGGATAAATTAGGTTTTTTAAAGAAGTTTTAATAGGGATTATTTAAACCAGATTTTCTAAATTTTAAATATTTGCTTTTTAAAATACATTTAAAATGACAAGTTATGTTAAAGCCTTCATTAACTATATTTAAGTGATTTTAATAAGTTCTACATATTTGCTACCAAAGTTTTAAAGAACATCAAACCACTGGCTCAGCACATGGACACGAGAGTTTCCTGAGGTGTTAAACGAGCCTGACACAACAGTAGCCTCTTCTGCAGGTACAGAGAGAATATTTTCTTCATTACAGTTTATTCAGTTAGTTCAATGACTTGTTCATTCAAAGTTCAGAAACTGATTGGGAGTTGAAAAAGTTTCAGGAAACCTGTTTTCCTTTTCCAATCTATGAATAAAAACTAGGTGTGAGAGGATGAGATTTCCTAGTTCTAAAATCTTGAAGGACGGGGTGACCAGAAACAATCACTTCAATTCAACAACTACAGCTAATTTCGTAACTCAGTTTTAAATGCAAATCATGTTTTGATAATTTTTTTTCCTCATGTATCCTCCACATTTTAGTTTTATTTCACTAATAAAACATTAAAATGCTGTGTATGTATTTTTACTTGAACTCCCATTTTCATTCAAGTCAAGCTTAAAATAAATCACAAGTAAAAAAACTCCACAATCATCTAGTAAATAAATACACCATTATTTTCTGATGTAAAAATTAAAAATCTGAATAAATGTAAATTATGCAGAATAATTTCTTAAATAAATATATATAGGTGTGGTTAGCAAAAAGAAGTATCAAATTTCATGTAAATGCTACATTTAGTTGCCAATCAACATGTTTTATGGTTACCCACCAATGAGAATCAACTTTTCTTTAGGAAAGTAACTCAAAAGTATAAATGCAAAACAAGACTCAAATCAATTCTTGAAATCAAAGTTTCCTGCTTGCTGGTTAAAATCATGATTAAAACCGGTGACTTAACAAGGGATGTGTTTAAAACCTGAATCCCTACATAATATAATTTTATGATTTCTCTCTTCATCACTTAGGGGCTTTCTGGATTTTGCAGTCACAAGACACTGTTTTCATGAAAACTGCAAGACTCTTAATATGATAGTCTATAAAATTTAGTCGAAAACATTTTCAGTTGAATTTTTAATTGTGCCCCTCCACCTACCCAATGCTGAATAACTTGCTGCTTGGGCCCATTAAGGGGCAGTTCTAAAGTAAATGGAAATTAGATATTTATTGTATCTATTGAATTGGTTCTCACACTGTGACTGCAACTGTATTACTTAAACAAAGTAGGCCTACCAATCTCAGGCTTGGTGTGTTGCTCCTAGGGGGTTGGGAATTTTTTTTTTTTTTCTTTCTGGTCATCTTCCATACCTATTTTTTTTTCTTACTTTAAAATCTCATACTCAGAGGCCTGAACTAAGGATACAATATTTTCGTTGAACTGGTTAGGACTTGTTGATGCTGCACAAGTCTCACCAGTCGGTTAGCCAGTTATCTCTGTAATCCATGCACCCAAAACCTTGGCTTCCAGTTCTACTGCTTCAAAAGGGAAAACTGAATATGGGTCTGCTGTATGTACCTAGAACAACCCAGCTCTCTCACCTGTAGCTTTATTACTGAAATAAGACACCTGGAGTGTCCAATCAGTTATTACACATAATAGAAATGGGCCTGAACTAAAACTCTAGCTGGGATCAACCTTGAATGTTGAAGAAAGTTTCCATCAACAGCTGCTGTGGTGTTGCTTTAACATCAGACTACAACATCACGTGTGCTTACTTACTGCAATTTTCCCAAGATCTATGCCATAATTCAGCGCACTCCATGAACACTGTTTAAAGTTGGGTGTCCAAGACTCCTCAATGCTTTCTCGCATACATTCTCCTTTTTCTCCTTTCAGCCCGTCCCGACCAGGGATTCCAGGTGTCCCAGGAATTCCATTTATTCCAGGGTTTCCATCTCGTCCAGGAACACCACCAGGTCCTTGTAAACACATTCCATTATACTGAAAAACATAACCTTTTTTCACACTTTGCTTATTGATTCTAAGGCTGAAAAATAGTGTTGCTTACTTTGTACAAGATAGGAGTCTGTTATAGAAGGCCATGAAAATTCCTCTATTAGTGAGGAAAGAGGGGCAAGAAATGGCATTGCCTCTCAAATACTGAAAATTAAATGAATATGTTAAAACTGGCAGCTGAGTTTGCTGTTAGTGAGATATCAAAGATAGATGCAGGGTGGTAGTTTCATTAATAGGAAATATTCATATATGTTAACTACAAAACTGCATGGAAAAGTGTACATGCCCCTTACCTTCCAAAAAAGTTTCCCCAGATTACAATATTAATATGGTCAATTGCTGGCCTCAAACTATGATGGTACACCTTGCTTTCACATTTTAACCAACTAGACTGTGATAGTAATAGTGTAAATTTAACATTTGGGAGAGAGGAAGATGAAACTCAGATGGGACTCTCTCTTCTTCTCTGCCCTCAATCCCCAAACTATTTGGACACAGAGCTGTGCAGGGTGGACCCCAGGCAGTTCCACCTGTCCCCACCTATGCAAGCTCCAGGGAATAACTCCAGGGAGGAGACAATTTGGGGGTGCAGACAAAGCCAGGAGAAGGAGACATAGAAGAAGCTGCAACAGGAACCTTTGGACACTGCTGATGTCCCCTACATTTTTTATCTTGAACATTAGGTCCCATCTGCTGACTGGGTGCTTATTCCAATCCTCACCCATTCATCGAGTCTCTTCACCTCCTACTGCCCTGCTCTTTTCTTGCCTTCTGTCTCATGCTTATCTCCTTCCCTTTTTCCTTTTGTTCAATTAATCCCCACCCACCAAACCCTAATCAAAAACAAAAAACAAAATTGAAAGAGAATTATGCAACTAACATGACACTTTCAAATCATAACATTGCTCCTGCTTGTATGTTATTTTCCTTCTTCCCTTCCCTTTGACTGACTTGTCTATTTAGATTATAAACTCTTCAGGGCAGGGACTGTCTCTTAACCTATATTTGGATAATGCTCGGCATAACAGGGCCGCCCCACTGTGATACAAATAATAAATAAATAAAATGAAAAGTCCTACTAAGGAAGTAAATTGAGATCCAGAATAATGAACTTTTGACATTTCCTACAATATTCAAAAAGAAAGAATCACTGTTGGCAAATACAGTAACAAGAACATGCCAGTGAAACATTTGATCAAGGAGCAGATCCTTAAAAAGGCTCAATGAATATTAGTCTGGTCTCAGAGACACCTACAAAACTAATAAGCAAGACAGTTATGTGAAGACATTTTCATTTCTTACAGTACTACTTGTACCAATTTATTTGATACATTTTGCCTTTAATATTGAAACTGGTTGTAATGTTGCCTAGTTCTGATTTCTTTAATATGACAGATGAATAGAAAAATATTAAGAAAGTTGAACTCAGTAGAAGTTGGGGGCACTCATCTCTTCACAGGATCAGGCCCACTATCTGGAACATGTGAGAAGCATGGTCTTACAAATAAAATATGCTATTTAGCTATTCTTTGCTTTAACTTAGTAGCTCTCAACTTTTCCCGACTATTGTATCCCTTTCAGGAGTCTGATTTGTCTTGTGTACTCCCCAAGTTTCACCTCAATCTCAATTAAAAAACTACTTGATTACAAAATCAGACATAAAAATACAAAACTGTCACAGCACACTTACTGAAAAATTGCTTACTTTCTCATTTACCATATAATTATAAAATAAATCAACTGGAATATAAATATTGTGCTTACATTTCAGTGTACAGTATATAGAGCAGTATAAACAAGTCATTGCTGTACAAAAGTTTAGTTTGTACTGACTTTGCTAGTGTTTTTTACATAGCCTGCTGTAAATCTAGGCAAATATCTAGATGAGTTGATGTACCTTGTGGAAAACCTCTGCATATCTACGGGGTACATGTACCTCTGGTTGAGAACCACCGATTTAGCTGACCTGGACATTTTAGTTTTAGATTCCACCAGGGGGCAGAGCTAGCCAAAAAGAGGGTGCTCCAGACTGATCTAACATTAAAGAAATGTTGAATATTTCCAGAGAGGGAGGTTTAAACTGTTGCAGACCCAGAAACTCACGTATGCAAAAGAATTACATGGACTTTGGTCTCCTCTTCAGCCAAACCGATCTGTACTCACCAGATCAATTATTTTCACATATGGTATGCTGCTTTTGAAGTGGAATGAGCATCTGGTTGTAAAATGACAATGTTGTGTCTGTTGAAGCAAGCCGACCCCTTGTCATGTTTTTGGTTCTATTTTTGAAGGAGTTTGTGTCAAAGTTATTTTAGCTGACACAGTTAGTATACATCTACTTAAGTATATTTCCTTAACTTCCACTAATTTATCTGTGTCATAGATCTCAGCCTGCCAAGCTGAAAAATGGGATGCAGTGTCGGGCAAATATTCAAGATGAGGGACACAAAAATATTTGTTCATACAGAAAACTTAAACTGTGGGATTCACTCCTTTAACTTCCCATAACCTCAGATTCATTATTCCTTATTTTTTTATATAAAAAATGTTCAACAATGACAGTGAGATGGCACCAAAGCTGTGTGGAACACAGGTGGCTTTGGGACTGAAACTAGTGATAGCCCTCAAACTGAAGTACCTAGATCATACCCTTCAAATGTACATCTGCTGACAATGCCAGCTACATACCAAAACCAGCAGCACCCTCTCCATCCTAAAAAAATATAAGTGTTAGTGAATACAAGTGCGGGATCCCTGCAAAGACTTGCCTTTGTCTGGAGGGAAGAAAAATCCATGCCACTGGTTTTCCATGGCTCAATAGCCTTCAGTGCATTTGTAGTTGCAATCAAACAGCATCTGGAAACGTGCCATGTATAAGCAGCAGTGTGAATTTGTTTACACTTGGGAAAGTGGGATTTAATAAAATGAGAGTTTTGCAGCTTTTTGTGGCTCTTTACTTTAAAAGTAACCTTTTTTCTTTATCTTGTCCTTTATTTACTATTCTAGTTTAGTTAATAAGGGCTTTAAAAAATCAGTTTTGCCTAGGCGATGTCTTAGTAAGGAAGGATAGCAGTTCACAGTCCACTCTTTTTTATAGAAACAATCCAGCCACATTAACTTGGCCTTGCTTCCTCATGCGGACATGACTGGAGAGAAGGGTATGTATTACTTTAACCACAGACTCTGCTATGTGCAAATCTGAGGAAACACAGTCTGCATCTGGAAAGAAATAGCTTCCATGAAGACAAATCCATTCTAAACATTTCCCTGCATCATCACAATCAGTGAGCAATAAAATGTAGAAAAGAAGATAAATCAAATTACTCATCCTTCCTGCAAAAATGACCCAGCATAATTGAGTCTATGGTCAGGTCTTCAAGTTATAACTGGGTTTGGGACAGGGGAACTGTCCTGGCTGGCAGAAGGGAGCTGTTCTCCCAACAATAGACACTTTGCAGAGACTGGCCCCTAGAGCTGCTCTAGCCTCTTCCTAGGATAAAGCAAAGGAGAGGATTGGGTGGTTCCAACCCTTTGAATGAGAAAGCAGCAAGGAAGATTCTCCAGCAGCTCCTCACTTGTTACTGTAACCTCAAATCCACAACATCACCCGCAACCTTGTCCACCAGCTCCCCCCACATCAGACCCCTCTGCCCCGAGACTCCCACTCTAACCCTCCTAACCCTTTTCAGGCCCCCCAGACTTCCACTCCAGCCCTCCTAACCCCTCTCCAGGCCCCCCCCCCGCCCCCAGACTCCCACTTCAACCCTCCTAACCCCTCTCCAGGCCCCCCCCGCCCCCAGACTCCCACTCCAACCCTCCTAACCCCTCTCCAGCCCCCCCTGCCCCCAGACTCCCACTCCAGCCCTCTTAACCCCTCTCCTGGCCCCCCCCCGCCCCCAGACTCCCACTCCAGCCCTCTTAACCCCTCTCCTGGCCCCCCCCCCCCCCAGACTCCCACTCCAGCTCTCTTAACCCCTCTCCAAGCGCCCCCCCCCGTCCCCAGACTCCCACTCCAGCCCTCCTAACCCCTCTCCAGCCCCCCCGCCCCCAGACTCCCACTCCAGCCCTCCTAACCCCTCTCCAGGCCCCCCCTGCCCCCAGACTCCCACTCCAGCCCTCTTAACCCCTCTCCAAGCCCCCCCCCGCCCCCAGACTCCCACTCCAACCCTCCTAACCCCTCTCCAGCCCCCCCTGCCCCCAGACTCCCACTCCAGCCCTCCTAACCCCTCTCCAGCCCCCCACCGCCCCCATCATCTACTCGTAGCCCCACTGCAGCCCCTCCCTCGCCCCCATTGCTCCGTCCCTCTCTCCCGACCCCTTGCTCCACAGTCCTCCGCTGCTCCCGGCCCCTCCATTCCCATCCCCTATTTCCGCGGCGCGCGCAGACTCACCACGTCCACCACCTCCCTCTGGCGCAGCGGCTTGTGCTTCCCCTTCGGGCTCTCGGACTCCCCGAGCGGCGGGGCAACCAGCAGCAGCAGCGCGGCCAGGAGCAGCGAGGCGGCGGCGGGCGGAGAGCGCATGGTGCGGGGCTGCCGGGGGCGCGGGGCCGGGCTGGCTGGGAGCTGAGCGAGCGTGCGGGGGGATTAGTCAGTGTCTGCAGCGCCCCGCAGCAGCGCGCTGGATAAATGAGCCTTTCACAGCCCGGAGCCTGAGCTCCCTCCCTGGGGACGCCAGGAATTTCCATCCTGTAACAGGGCAGCAGCTCCGCGCCTGAGCCGTCCGGCCACAGCCACAGGCCCGCCGGGGCTTCCCGCCCCCGCATCGCCCGGCACCGCCGCCCCAGCCTCAGGCGCCCTGCAGCCGGCACTCACGGGGCAAGTGTGCCGGGGCTGTGTGCCACGGGCCCTTAGCACGGGCACCGTACAACCGTACCGCCTGCGCCCCGGGCCCTTAGCACGGGCACCGTACAACCGTACCGCCTGCGCCAGGGCCCTCAGCACGGGCACCGTACAACCGTACCGCCTCCCCCGCCCTCAGCACGGCACCGTACAACCGTACCACCTGCCCCCCCCTTAGCACGGGCACCGTACAAGCGTACCGCCTGCGCCCCGGGCCCTTAGCACGGGCACCTACAAGCGTACCGCCTGCGCCCCGGGCCCTTAGCACGGGCACCGTACAACCGTACCGCCTGCGCCCCGGGCCCTTAGCACGGGCACCGTACAACCGTACCGCCTCCGCCCCGGGCCCTTAGCACGGGCACCGTACAACCGTACCGCCTGCGCCCCGGGCCCTTAGCACGGGCACCGTACAACCGTACCGCCTCCGCCCGGGCCCTTAGCACGGGCACCGTACAACCGTACCGCCTGCGCCCCGGGCCCTTAGCACGGGCACCGTACAACCGTACCGCCTCGCCCGGGCCCTCAGCACGGGCACCGTACAACCGTACCGCCTGCGCCCCGGGCCCTCAGCACGGGCACCGTACAACCGTACCGCCTGCGCCCGGGCCCTTAGCACGGGCACCGTACAACCGTACCGCCTGCGCCCCGGGCCCTTAGCACGGGCAACCTACAAGCGTACCGCCTGCGCCCCGGGCCCTTAGCACGGGCACCGTACAACCGTACCGCCTGCGCCCCGGGCCCTTAGCACGGGCACCGTACAACCGTACCGCCTGCGCCAGGGGCCCTCAGCACGGACACCGTACAACCGTACCGCCTGCGCCCCGGGCCCTTAGCACGGGCACCGTACAAGCGTACCGCCTGCGCCCCGGGCCCTTAGCACGGGCACCGTACAACCGTACCGCCTGCACCCCGAGCCCTTAGCACGGGCACCGTACAACCGTACCGCCTGCGCCAGGGCCCTCAGCACGGACACCGTACAACCGTACCACCTGCGCCCGCCCTTAGCACGGGCACCGTCAAGCGTACCGCCTGCGCCCGGGCCCTTAGCACGGGCAACCTACAAGCGTACCGCCTCGCCCGGCCCTTAGCACGGGCACCTACAACCGTACCGCCTGCGCCCCCCTTAACACGGGCACCTACAACCGTACCGCCTCGCCAGGGCCCTCAGCACGGACACCGTACAACCGTACCGCCTCGCCCGGGCCCTTAGCACGGGCACCGTACAACCTACCGCCTGCGCCAGGGGCCCTCAGCACGGACACCGTACAACCGTACCCCTCGCCCGCCCTCAGCACGGGCACCGTACAACCGTACCCTCCCCCCTCAGCACGGGCACCTACAACCGTACCCCTCCCCCCCCTCACACGCACCCAACCGTACCCCTCGCCCCTTAGCACGGGCACTACAACCGTACCGCCTCGCCCCGCCCTTAGCACGGGCACCTACAACCTACCGCCTCGCCCGGGCCCTTAGCACGGGCACCGTACAACCGTACCGCCTCCCGGCCCTTAGCACGGGCACGTACAACCGTACCGCCTGCGCCGCCCTTACACCACCGTACAACGTACCCTCAGGCCTAGCACGCCCTACAACGTACCTCCCCCCCCACTTCAGTTCCCGGGCCTCACACGAACTCAACCGTACCTCCCCCTTAGCACCACTACAACCGTACCCTCCCCGCCCTTAGCACCAACCAACGTCCGCCTCGCCCGGCCCTTAGCACGGGCACCGTACAACCGTACCGCCTGCCCCGAGCCCTTAGCACGGGCACCGTACAACCGTACCGCCTCGCCAGGGGCCCTCAGCACGGACACCGTACAACCGTACCGCCTGCGCCCCGGGCCCTTAGCACGGGCACCGTCAAGCGTACCGCCTGCGCCCGGCCCTTAGCACGGGCAACCTACAAGCGTACCGCCTCGCCCGGGCCCTTAGCACGGGCACCTACAACCGTACCCCTGCACCCCGAGCCCTTAGCACGGGCACCTACAACCTACCCTCCCAGGGCCTCAGCACGACACCTACAACCTACCCCTCGCCCGGCCCTTAGCACGCACCGTACAACCGTACCCCTCGCCAGGGCCCTAGCACGGCCACCTACAGCGTACCGCCTCCCAGGGCCCTAGCACGCAACCTCAAGCGTACCGCCTCCCCGGCCCTTAGCACGGGCACCGTACCACCGTACCGCCTTCGCCCCCCCTTAGCACGGGCACCGTACAACCGTACCCCTCGCCCGCCCTTAGCACGGCACCACAACCGTACCGCCTCGCCAGGCCCTCAGCACGGACACCGTACAAGCGTACCGCCTGCGCCCCGGGCCCTTAGCACGGGCACCGTACAAGCGTACCGCCTGCGCCCCGGGCCCTTAGCACGGGCAACCTACAAGCGTACCGCCTGCGCCCCGGGCCCTTAGCACGGGCACCGTACAACCGTACCGCCTGCACCCCGAGCCCTTAGCACGGGCACCGTACAACCGTACCGCCTGCGCCAGGGGCCCTCAGCACGGACACCGTACAACCGTACCGCCTGCGCCCCGGGCCCTTAGCACGGGCACCGTACAACCGTACCGCCTGCGCCAGGGGCCCATAGCACGGGCACCGTACAACCGTACCGCCTGCGCCAGGGGCCCATAGCACGGGCAACCTACAAGCGTACCGCCTGCGCCAGGGGCCCATAGCACGGGCAACCTACAAGCGTACCGCCTGCGCCCCGGGCCCTTAGCACGGGCACCGTACCACCGTACCGCCTGCGCCCCGGGCCCTTAGCACGGGCACCGTACAACCGTACCGCCTGCGTCCCGGGCCCTTAGCACGGGCACCGTACAACCGTACCGCCTGCGTCCCGGGCCCTTAGCACGGGCACCGTACAACCGTACCGCCTGTGCCCCGGGCCCTTAGCACGGGCACCGTACAACCGTACCGCCTGCGCCAGGGGCCCTTAGCACGGGCACCGTACAACCGTACCGCCTGCGCCAGGGGCCCTTAGCACGGGCACCGTAGAACCGTACCGCCTGCGCCCCGGGCCCTTAGCACGGGCACCGTACAACCGTACCGCCTGCGTCCCGGGCCCTTAGCACGGGCACCGTACAACCGTACCGCCTGCGCCCCGGGCCCTTAGCACGGACACCGTACAACCGTACTGCCTGCGCCACGGGCCCTTAGCACGGGCACCGTACAACCGTACCTCCTGTGCCATGTGCCCTTAGCACGGGCACCGTACAACCGTACCGCCTGCGCCAGGGGCCCTTAGCACGGGCACCCTACAAGCGTACCGCCTGCGCCACGGGCCCTTAGCACGGGCACCGTACAAGCGTACCGCCTGCGCCACGGGCCCTTAGCACAGGCAACCTACAGGCGTACCGCCTGTGCCACGGGCCCTTAGTACGGGCACCGTACAACCGTACCGCCTGTGCCCCGGGCCCTTAGCACGGGCACCGTACAACCGTACCGCCTGTGCCCCGGGCCCTTAGCACGGGCACCGTAGAACCGTACCGCCTGTGCCCCGGGCCCTTAGCACGGGCACCGTACAAGCGTACCGCCTGTGCCCTGGGCCCTTAGCACGGGCACCGTACAAGCGTACCGCCTGCGCCCCGGGCCCTTAGCACGGGCACCCTACAAGTGTACCGCCTGCGCCACGGGCCCTTAGCAATGGCAAAGTACAACTGTCCTGCCTGTGCCACACAGCCCCCTTCCCTGGGGTCAGACGACAGTATCGCCTCAGCCACAGAACACTCTTCCCTGCAGTCAACTGTATCGCCTGTGCCATGCATCCCCCTTCACGGGAGTCAACTGTACCGCCTGTGCCACTGACCCTTCACACTGACAACATACAACTGTACTGCCTGTGTCATACAGCTTCCTTCCCTGGAGTGAGACAACTGTTTCACCTGTGCCACACAGCCCCCTTCCCTGGAGTCAACTGTACTGCCTGTGCCACTGACCCTTAGCATTGACAACATGCAAGTCTACCACCTGTGCCACGTAGCCCCCTTCCCTGAGGTCAACTGTAGTGCCCGTGCCTCAAAGCCCCCTTCTCTGGAGTCAGACAACTGTACTGCCTGTGCCACACAGCCCCCTTCCCTGGAGTCAGACAACTGTTCCACCTGTGCCATGCAACAGACAGCCGCCTCACGTGGAATCAGACAGCTGAACCGTTTGCACCACACAACCAAAACCCTTCACATGGAGTCCTACAACTGTCCCATCGGTGCCACACACAGGTACCCCCCCCCCACTCACGGAGTCAGGTAACTGCACTATTTGTGCCACACAACTAGAAGTCCTTCACATGGAATCATGCAACTGGACCAGCTGTGCCATAAGACCTACAGCCCCTCACATGAAATCAGACAACTGTGTCGTCTGTGCCCAGTGGAGCCAGAATAAGGGGTGTCAGGAGGCCATGGCCCTCCCACTTTTTTGAAAGTGGATGGGCCTGGCATGTCCATTTTTTGTCAGGGGCTCTGCCCCTGCCCCTCTTCTTCCCCCGTGAGGCCCTGCCCCACCCCACCCCTCCGGCCAGGCCGGCAGCTGTGGGGCGCAGCGGACCCTCCACCTGCCCGGGGTAGAGTGTGGTCGAGAGCAGCCTCCAGCCACAGCTGCTCACGTGCAGCTCTTACCTGGAACCAGCTGCGGCTGGGGGGGGCCACAGCATTGCCATGATGAGAGCCACATGGGCAGGTGTGGGGCTACACTATGAGGGCCCATGGGGCAGGGACATGGGCTAGGGGCTGCTCTCAACCCTCCCCACCCCAGGCAGATGGAGAGTCCGCAGCTCCTGGCCTGCTCT